CTGAGGCCCCTCGGCCTCTTGGGGATCCATTGGCTCGACTGTCCACTTGGATGTCTCTTTGGTAGTCCAATAAAACAGGGCAAAGGGAACGCAGGGCCCCACTTTGCGCGCATATTCGACAAACCCACGCAAAACATATCACTTTGCCGGTGCCACAAATCAATCTCTCTCTCGCGATCTCGCCCGAGCGATAAAGCCGGAGCCTGTGTTGATGACCAAAGCTAAAATGATGACCCCCATGGCACTGGGTATCCTCACGCTCGAAAGAAACGCAACCCCCGAAGCGCGAAACGACGCGCAAAGATGAGAGTTGATGGCCCCCTGGCACTCAGGAACCCTGGTTTTACGCTTTCCGCTGGACCAACTGGGAATTGGAGATCAACAAACACAGCCTCCTCCACACAAACAGAAGTAAGAGAAAGTAGCGTATCTATACATATGATCTACAGCACAGTGGGGCAACCCTTCCACCCACATCAAAGGCGATGTCACACATTCGTGTTCACCTTGAGGAGCTCAACATCCGAAGAGGTGCACCCAAATAGGTCTTGGAGGTCGCAAAATGCCGGGTTTGAATATGGGGCTGGAAATATGAGAAAAGCATGTCCATCTGAACAGTCACCATGTGGAGAACTGTTCGACTAGTCGGGGTCCAAATGTTCATCGTCCACGAGTGGGCAGGGGCAGGGTCCAGGTTCTGTTTGGCAAAAAATGGAACCCATAGGATTGGCACCCGAAACAGCCTATAAGGACTCAAACGACTCGGGGGAGTGGCAAGGAGGGAAAGGGGAATTCAACCAAACTTACGGGGGCCCTCCATTTCCCAAAAGAAGAAATCAACACCGGAGAAACAGTTTTTCTCTTTCAGGGCGAACTGCCATTCGCGGACTGGAAATCAGGAATCTGCAAGCAAAGGACCTTCATGGGCTCGTGACCAAGGCAGAAGGTTGGCACCTTCCACGAATAATCGACTTCGTGGATTGAAGCCCCGTTTGCGGAGGCTGGCGGGTAGAACGGGTTCAAACCGGTCGCGAAAAGTTCAGCAAGGGGAACCTGTCGCGAAACTGGGTCTCGGGGGCCTTGCAAATTCCCTTTGGAAGCCAAAGGACCATGCGTATTCAAAGCAGGGGGACTGAGGATGGTGTGGTTTCCTTTCGGGTTCCTTAAGGACCCGCGGAGGGAGGGGGGGGTTTGGGTGCCCGCCCAGATCCCCGACCAAATCCGAAACCTCGAACCATTCAATGTCCCGAGACCCCGTCCAGCCAGCAAAGAGCCCGCTGCCGCATTCGCACTCGCAAGCGGGGTTCAGGCCTCGGTCCGGTGCGTCCAAAAAAATCGGGCGAACAAATTCCAGCCCCTGATCCCCAGCACTTGACGCATCTAGCAAGCGCTTGGCAACCAACCCTGAGTCTGGAGTCGAGGTAAAGGCTTCCCTTCAGTGAGCCACGCTTGGCTTGCTACTCGGCTTGGGCAAAAAGGCACCATCCCCCCAAAAAGACTATAATAACGCGTGGCTTGCCTTTCCCTGCAAGAACCCCTTTTTGAAAACGGCAGAGTTTAGTCCACCACTTCTCCTTCAATATCTCGTTTCAACTCTTTGGCTGGGGTCGAATCGATCCGTGAACCGTTTTATCCACGGGAAACCAGTCAGCCCAGGTAGGCGGACAACTACAGAGAAATCCATCCCCGGAGCTTCATGGAGCGCGGAATCGGGGGCGCACGCCAACCCAAGGGCAGCAAGGAAGCACTCTAAAACTTGGCAACCCTTTTGTGGACATCATGTGGGTGGGGATCTAGGTCTACCAACCATTTGGGAGTTGCCCATTGTTTGTGTTTTTTGGGCAATAGCCATTTCCCGTGGTCCTGTGGTTGTTCGTAGGGCTGGTATACTTGCAATATGATGGATCCACTCAGGTCTTAGGCTCCGGCAGCCGTCATCTTGCCAGCAGACCGACGACTTGGGGCACGCCCCATCTCGGAGCAGGCGGGCTCGCCGAAAACGGGAAGCTCGCTGAGCCCTGTGAAAGGCTTTGGGGACCCTTCGACCCCCAAGCTGTGAAAGTGTCTGTAATTCGGGTGCTTCCCACAATTTGGAAATCAAAAAACCCCACCCCAGAAACGACCTTCATTCAGTGAGAGAAATAAGTACCCGAATGACTTGCCCAAACCGTTTCGTTTTCGAAACAGAAAAACATCATGAGGGAGCTCGCCCCTCTGGCTTCCAAAACGCGCCCTTTGCCATCCAGCGATTGAAAGATGGACTTTGCGCCCGGCCCACAGGTCGCACTTCCCACGGGTTGTCCTCGCGCCCCGCTGGCAAATGCAGTCATCCAAGGTAAGCGAGATTTGCTCACATGCGCGAACGAGAAGCAACATTGGGGTTTATGAGCCCAGTGCTGCCCTGAGAGGCTAGAATTGAAAAGCGTGAGTTCGACAAGTTCGGGGAACAAATCGTGTGAAATCACGCCAAATCACGGTTGTAGATGGATGTGCCTCAAAATCAGCATGCATTGGGCCTAGATGCAAATATCAACAATGGCATACAGTCAGTTCAACAATCACCTCAAATCACGCTAAATGACGCTCAGCCACGCCGCCACAGTGCTGGCTTCCGACAAGACGGAACCCGACAAGACAAAGGTTGTACTACAGTGTATATATGTATATTATATATAAATGTATGTATGTATGTATGTATGTATGTATGTATGTATGTATGTATGTATATGTATGTATGTATGTATGTATGTATGTATGTATGTATGTATGTATGTATGTATGTATATATACACCTACGAACGAATGTTGCTCTGAGAGGCCCCAAATGAATGCTAGTAAATATAACCAACATGGAGTCTCTGGGATAGGTGCCCCATTAACAAGCTGCGCTTGGGGGGAAGTGTTAGTTATTTAAACCCGCCCTTAAAAAGCACCTGGCAAACAAAGAGCAACTTGCTTTTGCATCACCTTTTCTGATCTCATTTGCGAGACTTGCCCCAGATCTTTTTTGCGCTCAAGGGAGCAGAAGCCCGATCTGGCACCTCCGGAAGCCGCGTATTTTCCGCGTCCGGGGCTTCCGCTCTTCACGGTAATGACCCCGGATTCGAGAAACCAATCCTGTTAATGGGGGGGGGTGGTCCCTCCAAAAGGTGATGAACCCGGACACCCCCGAATCAAAGTCAACCAGGTCTGCTGAAAACCTGGGGGTTCCATTCGTTGCGGGTAAATGACTTAATCCATGTGAGCAGTGAAAAAAACCCCTGTTACCCGTAAAGGAAATTACTTCAGCTTCCGCAATCGCTTGCGGAAAGCTTCCGCCAACCGAAAGGTCGCTTACGTTTGCTATTTTTCGAAGATGGAGCTTACGCATAGCTTACGACAAGTTGCTCGTGCCTGATCCTCGATGAGCAAGAGGCGCTAGCATGACAAAGCAACAGCTTGCAGATGGAAAGGCTGCTGCGCAGGCCCAGCAAGACAATGGAGGGCCAAAAGCTGAAAACAAACTTTCGGGGCACGAAAAGTTGTTTTCTGCAGAAAGCGCGCGGAACCTCTGCGAGCAAGAGGCGCCGGCAGGACAGAGCAACAACTTGCCTGGAAAGGCGCAAAGGCTTTGCTGCACAGGCTCAGCAGTGACATAGAGGGGGAAAACTTTTGGGGGCCCGAAAAGTTGTTTTCTAAGTTGTTGTTCCAGCCCGCGAGCTTTTTTTGGCTTCGGGGCCCTGAAAAGTGCCTGCAGGTGGCAAAAGGTGCCTCGCAACAAAAAAAACTTTTCTGGGCTCGAAAAGTTGTTTGTGCTTTCCAAGCCCAAGGCCCAAAGGTGAAAAGGCAAATCCGCAGCAAAACAAGCGGGGCTCAACATGTTGTTTTCCAAGCCCGCGCAACGAACAAGGTGAGGTGCCAAAACAAAACTTTCGGGTCTCGAAAAGTTGTTTTCCAAACGCGAGCTTTTTTGTTCAAGCTGGCCAACGCGCTGTGCGTGGAACATTGCAAAAGGTTTGCACAAGTAACCCAACGGTCAAACAGCAGTTGTCTGAGCCAGAAAAAGTTGTTCACTGAAAGAATCCCTTTCCTTGTTGCTCGAAAGAACCATTCCAGCAATCTGATCCCATTTTCACGCCTAAAAGCATTACGCGGACCAAAAGCAACTTCTACCAAACAGTCTGAACGAAAAACGGATCTGACAAACAGAGCTTACGCAAAGCTTACGACGAGTGACTCATGCATGCAGCTTACGCAGGACCTTCCGATCGCTTACGAATCACGCAAAAACGCTTACGACTGCAAGAGTAATTTCCAGTTTCATCTAAATTGATCTACGGAGGCTTTTTTCGCCGCTCATGTGGGAATTGTGCAATATCTGTCACACTGTAAAGTAAGCTCCACGCACAAACGGTGATCTTTGAGACCACCTGAAATGCAAATGGGTGTCGTTCTTCGAGTCTCGGTACCCTTTTGGGGGTGGTTCTGAAGGGAACTAAAAGGATAACCAAAAAAACATGTTGCGGCTGGGGGGCGGGGCGGGGTCCCTATTTCAAGACACACCCAAATTTCGTTCTAACTATTCCAAGTCTGAGGACCACCACAAAGGAGGGGTTTGAGCCTTTGGCCCCAAGATCTAGTCTTGGGATCCAAAAGTTCTACACGTTTTTCGTGCCCGTTGAGGGTTGTTTGCAAGGGAAACCGGAATACCACCAATTTGGGGGGCGTCCCTTTTTGAGGCAGGGGAAAAACAACAACCTCGCACAGTTTAAAAGCTTCGATGCCCGAATCCGACTTCGGCGTCTCCTGCGCACGATTGGAGATCACCGCAATCAGGGGAATAAAGGCCAGCGCGGAAGCGATGCAAGAGGCATCCAGCCGCACCTCACATCAAATCCCATCGCAATCCATGTGGGGCGCACCTCTAGGGATGAAAAGGGGGTGTGCCCTTGGATTATTTGGGCACCCGAATAGAAGCGCAAGTAAGGCAACAAGCAAGCCGAGTCTCCAATTTACCGAAGCTGTCAGTTTCCTTTCGAGACCATCGGAGCCCGAAATCCGAAAGCGCGCCTTCTGGACATGGTAGCGGGCCTCGATCCATTCGATCCGCCGATCCGTGAGGCAGGATCGAGAGCTGGGGGGCCCCCTTGCAAAAAATGAGACCATCATGATGCCTGAGAACTGCTACCCAAACCAAGTGCTGGTGTTCATTCAAATCCCAAACAAAAACCGCCCACAGAAAGCACCGGGGCATGACACCAAAGGCCGGCATTGCATCAGGAACCTCTGTCACAGGGCTTTGGCTTCTGGCGAAAAAAGGCCACGACTGGAAGATTAGGACTCCCAAAACCGGCTGAAGAAGCCAATCGCCATTTTTCCTTTTGGTTTTCCTTTGAACCACCCTAAGGATACTCTCAAGAAACAAACACACACAGGCACACACGCACACGCAGACACAGACTCAGACACAGACACAGACACAGACACAGACACGGACACATGCACAAGCACAGAGAGACACAGAAAGACACGGAGAGACACAGAGAGACACAGAGAGACACAGAGAGACACAGAAAGACACAGAGAGAAACAGAGAGACACAGAGAGAGACACAGAGAGAGACAGAGAGACACAGCGAGACACAACACACACACACACAGAACCACACACACAAAGACACACACACAAAGACACGGAGACACACACACAGAAACACACACACAAAGACACACAGAGACACACAGAGACACAAAGAGACACAAAGACACACACAAAGACACGGAGACACACACACATACAGAAACACACACACACACACCACACAAAGACACAGAGACAGACAGAGACACACAGAGACACAAAGAGACACGCAGAGGCACACAACACACACAGCGACACACACACACAAAGACACTCACACACACACACACACACACACACACACACAAAGACACACACAAAGAAACACACAAAGAGACACACAAACAGAGACACACACAAAGACACACACACACACACACACAAAGACACGGAGACAAACACGCACACACACACACACACAGAGACACACACACACAGAGACACACACAAAGACACACACACAGACACATATAGAGACACACAGAGACACACACAGAGACAAACACCCACACACACACGTGGAGTTGATCAATATATACTCCGTTCGACCCCAAAATGTCCATGGGTACCTTTTCCAATTTGGTGAAATATCATTTGTGTTTGTGGTTTTTGCGGTCATTCCATGTATTGCGCACCTTTTGATCAATTTGACGTCCCGCCTTCTCACCCTTCAGAATTCGCTCCGTGAGCAAAGAGTTGAAGGCCGAAGTGACGGCGGAGCCTGGCTGCAAAAAAAACTCTGCGGCCTGGCCGCCTTGGGATGACATCTCGTGCGACCGGACAGGGGTCCAAACGCAGTTGGGTATGAAGAACTACCCAAACCAAGGCCAAGGAATGGCGCTTTCGCTTTTCGGGGCGTTGTTTCGCTTCCTAGGGCTCCTTTTAGCCCATTCGACATTGCTCCGGTGAAGTCACCCCTAGCTTCTGTCAGGGAAATTTGATCTTCGAGGGGCTCGGAGTAACTCTGTCGTCCCCAAACAAAACTCGGCAACCCTGGCAACCAAAAAGGGTGATCTGCGAACCCAAAGGGTTAAATAGCTTCGGAAACAAAACGAAGATTGCTCAAGCAATGGTTTGAGCCTTGGTTCAACAATGGGCTAGAGGCTTCCAATTCTGTTTCCACCCTGCTACACCTCTGCTTTCCGGCAAACCATTGGAGCCGAAAGCCGGCCTAAAACCAGCAGCATCGCGACCTGGGCAACAGGCAAACAAACCAACTGGGATCCTTTTTTGTGTGTTTCGAACACAAAAAAAAACATTGGGGCCAACTGGGTAGGGGTGTTGTGTAGGTGTCCCTCTCACCATCCAAAAAGGGCCCCCCCCAATTTGAGACAGACCCGATTGGGGGAGGAGCTTACTTGGTGACTTCATTTACGACCTTATTTATGTCATCGGTGTATATAAGTGAATTTGAAGCAGGAGTCGTGTGTTTGTATAGGATCCCTATTTCTAATCCGGGGCAGCATTAACTTTGAAAAGGCAAGTTTGCGCTGGACACAAAACTGGAGCCCCCCAAAGCAGGGTTGAGCCAGCCCCTTGAACCAAGGCTTAAACTATTTGGGTTCCCCCGAAAAATAACTGTGCAGGGGGGGGGGTTGATGTCAAGTTTTCTTGCTGGCTCTCAGCAGGGAATGAGGGAATGCCCCCTACAAACCATCCAACCTATGGTTTCCTTTCTCGGGAATCCCCAAAACTGATTCACTTTCACCCGGACTCGGAAGGTCATTCCCGACCAGAAAGTTAAAGGCATCACAAAATTGGGGACGACGGCTGAGTGCCCGGGCCCTCAGAGTCGAGATGCTCTCCACCCATTCCGGGCTGCTACCTGGGCTGAAGGCCTGGCGGAACAAACGAGAAAAAATAAGAAAAAGTCCCGCGAGATACGGAGCAACGAGTTCCTGGCCGGGAAACGAACAAATGTGCCATGGAGGAGCATACAATTAGTTCTAGTTTTAAATGAATAAAGCCGGGTTTTGGAGTGCCAAGCCCCATGCAGCAGAAACGAGTTACTGACCGGGAGAAAAAAAATGCGATGGAGAAGGAACACATACAAATATCTTTCTACAAATGAATAAAACAGGGGGTTGGAGTGCCAAGCCCCATGCAGAAGGGGCAAATCTTAAAATGCCACCAATTTCCAACAACCGACCCAATAGGTATTCGAAGTGCAAAGGGAAACTCGGTGCCGTGCCAAGCCCCATGTTTGCAGAAGGGGCAAATCTCAGAATGACCTGAGCTTCACCAATCGAAAGGGAGGCCTCCCTATGAAAAGACCTTCATCCTGCGTCACAAACCTTTGTAACAAGTCAGAAAGATCGGCTCGATTTGGCTCACCCTTCCGGGGCTTCTTGGGCAACCAAACAAGGTGGGTCAACCTGTATCAGCGTGCTACTCAAACTGCGTAAACCGCCACAGCCCAAGTTTCGATAGCATACCCAAAGCCTGGCCCAAGTCTGGAGGCCTCAGAAGCCTTCAAAAACAAAATGCGGACCCCGAAAAACCTACGCAGTCAGCTCAGCCCAAATCCGGACGCCTGCAGGTAGCCAAAAATGATGCTCGCGAAAGTCAGGATTGCAATGGCTACGTACCTCGGTCCAAATGCGCCTGGGAAAGCCATCTGAAATGCTGTGCTGTTCCGTCCCCCATGTCTGCTTTTTGAGGGTGCGCTATTTGGGGCTGGCGTAAGCGGGAACCAAAAGGTTTCCTGGAGACCAACCCAACTGGAGCATCTGGCTATTTTGAGCGAGCCTCATAGGCTTTAGCCCCATCTTTAGCCAAGGGAAGGAGACATTCTCGTTCGGACTCCGAAATGTGGGACTGGCATGAATTTCAGTCTCGCTTCCCGAGTGGATTTGCCCCAAAATCCCAGACTTGTTTACCTAAAGTGATCTTTCTGAAATGTTGTCTCAAAGCAGGGGACCCTGCAAATTGGTGGAATTCCAAAACGGGTACCCTCAAAAACTCACACACACACACACACAGACCCATATGAAGTCCGGAAACCCTTTGGGGGAAGTGAGCCGTGATCCTTTCAAGCAACTTGTTTGAAGGCTTTGGGTCACAAAGATCACACCGATGGATCGGTTTCTCCCATACGCCCATCGCGCGATCAGCTCCGACCAGCTGAGTTGACTGGCCAGAAAAAGGTTCAAGCTTTTTGGGCCTTGACTGGAACGATGAAGAAATCTGCAAACAAAAAGTGTTTACAGCTTGCCGACACAGAGTCAGCTTAAAGGGAACCCCCTCCGGGAAGAAAGGGGAAGCGCGTGCAATAGCAACTGGGATTTTGACGCGAAAGGTCGACAAAGGAGGCCCCAGGGCTTGAAATAAACGCTCAACAGCCAAAGCTGCCCGTATAGAGCCCAGTGGCGATATGGTCAGCAGCCATAGAGTTTGCCCCAAGCCTCCCTGTTCGGAGCCGCACGCTCGCGTCAAAACTTTCGAACCGAGGTCAACAGTCCTGGGGGCCGCGCTCTAGCCACATGTAGTATTTGTTCAGAACCTCAGGTTGGGCGCAACGTACCCGAACTCTGCTTAGCACAGACCCCTGGAAACCTTCCAGTTTCCGAACCTGAAGTGTTGGTTTCATATCAACGTGATCCCCAAAAAAGGACTCCGTTTAGCTTGTCCAAACAGCTCGAGAATGTTTGGCTGACATGCTCACCACTCTTTGCTGGGCTGAAAATGAGTCGTTTGAGTGCTCCCCACTCGCTACAAGCAAGTTTGCACAAAAACAGTCCCTAGACACATGCAGCCAAGGGCTGCCTCGCCGATTTCAAAGCCAAAAGTGGCCATCCTTCGATTGTGGCTATCGTGACAGACTTGGGACTCCGAGCCCATCTAGCGCCAATGGCCGCCACCGGTGTGTAAAGCTTGCCGATGATCAGGGCCAAAGCTGCGTTCATGCCTCCGGAACGCAGCGTGCAGAGAGGAAAGGTGAGCAAAAACACTCTGAGTGGGAAACCAGAAGGACAATTTCCATTTTGGGGGTCCCCCTATTTTGACAGATTCACAGTTCGAACCACTAGATTTGTTTCTTGAGGGGAAATGGTTGGGGGTTTGGTGTTGGGGGTTGTCAGGATTGGCTTTGATGATCCCAGGGGATACCGTTACAGGAAGACTGAGCAAACGGGGCACAGAGCTTCAAGGGCAGTCAAAAGAAATCAACCATGTTTCTGCTGAAAAAATGGACGATGATTCAGATTGCCCTGGCGAGTGGCGAAAAAATGGCTGTGTATCCATACCCGTGGATCCCAGTGGTTCGTGGTTGGGCGACTCAAGCTGTCCAAACCATGGTGCAAACCTTTGGGTTTGCTTTCAAGCGTTTCCGAAAACGGGGGTGGTTTAAACCAACGACCAGGGATGAGTTTGTGACCATCGGTGCGTGACTCACGGGTTGCTCCGAATCGGGCCGAATCCACCGGGGTCGAAAAGTGATCCCCCGAAAGAGATTATTTGGACGCCTTTGATCAATTACCCCGAGGTTTGGTGCTCAGGCTCGGAGCAACCTGCAATTAGTTCCCAAAAATGTCCGACATGGAAATAGGCACACCGGACTTTGTGGTACCACAAGGCCAGTGGGGTTGAACCATCAGCTGTTCTCTAAGTGCTTTGGATTGACTTGGTGGTTAAGAAGGGGTGTCAAAATGTACCCTCTGCAAGAAGCAGAAGTTCAAATCCCCAAACCACCCATCCAAACCACCAACTAAGTAAGGGTTGCCAACACAGAACCGCAAATAAATCGACCAAAACGCCGGCATCTCCTGGAAAACGGAGAGCTGGCCGGGAGCGGCTGGCCTTGTGAGTAGGCCATATTCATGAGAGTGGCAGTCAACGCCTCAGCGCCAACACTTCGATTCATGTTGGGTTGACCTGTCCTGGATGAGCTGGCGAAAAAGAACTGCACATAGGCGTTGCCATTGCCGAAGGTGCTCAGATTTGTATCTCTGTGTTCAAACAGTTGAAGCAACTAGTGTGGGAAAACTAAGTAAGACTGCGCTCCGCGAGTACAGTCGAATCACCACGGATAAGTAGAGCCAACCCTGGTCAGGACTGATTGACTTCACATGAGGTCGGGGCGGATATTCCGCAAACTCTGCAGTTCCAAAATCGGAAACAAGCGATCCCCCAAGTAAAGGACCCTCATCATGGTGAGGTCTGGTTTTTCGGTGGAACCGTTCGTTTTAGCCATAGGCAGAACCATGTCCTGTGTACTTCCCCTGTTTTCTATGCTCCCTCTTCGAGCATCTCCCCACCAAAGGACAAAACTCACTCAATATGAGCTAAAGTGATGTTTAAAACCAGAGGACCTGCATGGTGAGGCTCGATCAACCCGAATCGGTTCGCCATAAAACTGGCAAAGTATGTATTGCGTATGGTGTTCCCAACCGACATGGCAATTTGATGAAGAAACATGGGCCAGGCTTCGGCCTTTGTCGTTTGAAGGCTCGGAGCAAGCCAGGGTAGCTGGATCCACTGGAAAGAAAAACATCCGTTGAGGGGGGTCCACACAAAAAATCCATTTCAAATCAACCAACTAACATTGCTCCACGTGTTCCCGCGGATGCCGAGCAGGGGGGAACAGCTCGACGAAGTTGCACGAGGAAGGCAGCTCAGCTGAGCCATCGATACTCTTTGCGGGGACTACGGACCTACCGCTGCCTCATGCCGCCTAAAGGGGATACCACACAGGCCCCTAATTTTGACAAGGCGAGTACCCAACGACATACCCTTTACTAGCATGTGAATACTGACCGTTGCTCAACCTCAGTTGAAGGTCTCTGGAAATCTCAGGCGATCCCCTTTGGGCTTCCTGGCGGTTGGGTGAGGGTGCTGAATGTCCCTTACAGAGGATCCTACATGTTGACCGTTGCTCGCATGACCCAGACCAATTTGCATCTCTCGACCATCGGAATTGGCCTGGCTAAATGGGTTGACTTCTAGCCGATGAGCCGAGCCAGGGCTGCTGTTCTTACCGAAGCCGAAGCTACCTCGAGGCCGCAGCATATAGGAAGCCCGGAGGAGAACATTTCAGGATCTTCTTGGGGCTCCATGCGGTCCTCGAGAACGGTCTTTGGGAACGCGAACCGAGGCGAACGGTCGCTGCAATGCGCTTTGAAAGGGGTTTACCGGGTCCAAGCTCTTCAATTAAAAATACGAAACGTCAAGAATGATATAAAATTGCCAACCAGTGTTCAATTAAAAAAACGAAACGTCAAGAATGATATAAAATTGCCAACCAGTGTTCAATTAAAAATACGAAACGTCAAGAATGATATAAAATTGCCAACCAGTGTTCAATTAAAAATACGAAACGTCAAGAATCATATAAAATTGCCAACCAGTGTTCAATTAAAAATACGAAACGTCAAGAATCATATAAAATTGCCAACCAGTGTTCAGTTAAAAATACGAAACGTCAAGAATGATATAAAATTGCCAACCAGTGTTCAATTAAAAATACGAAACGTCAAGAATGATATAAAATTGCCAACCAGTGTTCAATTAAAAATACGAAACGTCAAGAATGATATTGCCAACCAGTGTTCAATTAAAAACGAAACGTCAAGAATGATATAAAATTGCCAACCAGTGTTCAATTAAAAATACGAAACGTCAAGAATGATATAAAATTGCCAACCAGTGTTCAATTAAAAATACGAAACGTCAAGAATGATATAAAATTGCCAACCAGTGTTCAATTAAAAATACGAAACGTCAAGAATCATATAAAATTGCCAACCAGTGTTCAATTAAAAATACGAAACGTCAAGAATGATATAAAATTGCCAACCAGTGTTCAATTAAAAATACGAAACGTCAAGAATGATATAAAATTGCCAACCAGTGTTCAATTAAAAATACGAAACGTCAAGAATGATATAAAATTGCCAACCAGTGTTCAATTAAAAATACGAAACGTCAAGAATCATATAAAATTGCCAACCAGTGTTCAATTAAAAATACGAAACGTCAAGAATGATATAAAATTGCCAACCAGTGTTCAGTTAAAAATACGAAACGTCAAGAATGATATAAAATTGCCAACCAGTGTTCAATTAAAAATACGAAACGTCAAGAATGAAATAAAATTGCCAACCAGTGTTCAATTAAAAATACGAAACGTCAAGAATGATATAAAATTGCCAACCAGTGTTCAATTAAAAATACGAAACGTCAAGAATCATATAAAATTGCCAACCAGTGTTCAATTAAAAATACGAAACGTCAAGAATGATATAAAATTGCCAACCAGTGTTCAATTAAAAATACGAAACGTCAAGAATGATATAAAATTGCCAACCAGTGCTCAATTAAAAATACGAAACGTCAAGAATGATATAAAATTGCCAACCAGTGCTCAATTAAAATTACGAAACGTCAATAATGATATAAAATTGCCGCAGGATTGATTTACCTTCGCACTAAACTCGATCCGGAGTTTTGTTTCCCGAAACTCCACCAAGAACTTTTCATTCACCGCTGAGATGGTCTTCCCAAAAGTGTAAAAGTCGGAACTCAGAGAGTTAAAAAAGGTTACAAGGTTCCTTCAGTCAGACCAAGGCGCGACAGAAAAGAGCCTTGATTCATGTTCGCGATTGGGTCAGAAGCAAAAGCGCAATGTGTGAGTTTGGCCGAGAAATGCTCCCAACATTGGGTTTACATCTGAAGGTCAAGGACTATAGAATCCTTTTCAACGAAAATCGCCAGGGAAGAATTGGCTGCCATGGTCAGTTTGTAAGCCTTCTACAAGCCTTGTAAGAGAGTGTCTGTTTTTAGGAAAAGCCTTTTTAGTTGGTTTCACAGGGAAAGCACCAAAGGGCAAACCTCCATATTGTGGTTTATAGTTTGTATTTCTTTATTTTTGGACACCCCGCATGTTGCTGCCTATCGTTCCCAAGGTGACACACTCCTCCTGAAAAAGTTGAAACGCCTTCCTGAGTCACCTGGCAAGGGCTGTTCTCTGCCACTTCCTGAAGCTTTTTGATCGACACAAAACCTAGTCCGGTCGAGATCGAGCTCCATTTTTTGGGCGGTGGTCACAAAAAAACAACAACTACTTTTGCTTGAGCAAAACAGAAAAACCGAAAGGAAGCCCAGAAAGACTTTGGGGCAAACTTGATGGGTTCCCCGGAAACTGCTTCGCGTCCGGCTGAAAGATGGAAAGAAAACCTTCGCACTTCGTCCATGGGACGGTCATCAACCTGAACTTGAATTTGGACAACCATTGTGAGGAACCGAATAGATCTTACCTCGATCGATGGAGAGGGAGGGTCCCATGTACGGGATTCTTCATTCTGGAGCACACCCAACAAGCATCAACTGCTCCCTTGACCGAAAAATGACTAGCTAGTGCTTGGAAACCTGCTGTTTGCTCATTGGTGTGTGAAACCTTTTTTAATCTCCTGTCGAGAAAAAAGAAAAAATGGCGGTGGCAGAACGTCGTCGAACAGGAACCGACCGGCTGACCGACCTGAGGCCGCGGCAAAAGTCCACTACAACCCTCGACGTACCTGGCACAGGCGGCATCATCTCAAAAAAAACGCCCGCAGCCCGTCCTCTTACAGGTTTTTTTTTATGCAAAAGCCGCGGGAGCGGGAGCCAGATCAATTCGTCCAACAAAAACTCAAAAAAAAAAATGCGGAGCCTTCGCCTTTCCGAGCCCAAAGAGGGGGAGGCTGATCGATGCTGAGGATGACCCAAACTCAAACCTGGCTGAGGCCGCCAGCCAAGACCCTGAGTGGATGGCCGCAGGAAAAACGTCGGCTGGGCTGGCCGTTTTCTGATTCCCTGCAAAAAGTTTAACCTTTAGTGGGTGAAATGGAAACTACCACTATCCCCGAACAGCCTAACAAGCTAAGGGGACGGCTGGGGGCCACCAAGTTTTTGCAGTTGCTTTTTTTTTAGTCACCACAAGGTGTCACACAGGAGTCCAACCCCCTCAAATCAAATCAACAGGGGCACCTTTCTCGTGGCACCCAAGCTCATTTCACCCCCAAAGCTCGGCATATTTGATGAAGTCACTCTGCGATGCACAGTTTGGATGCGCCTTACTTAGCATTTCACCAAATTTGGATGACCCACCAGCGGTCACCAGCGAACTCCCAACTTCGGCGGCGGCACAGCGTCAGGCCCGAGGCAACCACCTGAGCTCCGGAGAATCCCTGCAGCTTAGGGCCGGGAAGGAAAACCCGTCATTGATCTTTGAAAAGAGAGCAAAGTGTGTGTTTCTCCACAACTACGGTGGAACCGTTCAGTTGTCAGCTGAATTGTCAAGAGGTGATGTATTAAGCCACCTTTTATGTTAAAACACCTTTTAAGAGGGGGGATGACGCCCCCTACGAGGAAAGAACACGTTGAATTGCGGCTTAATCAGTAGATTCAGGTTGTTTACCGTGGAGATCTCCGTTGCTTACTTCGCGGCAAGAAGCATGAAGATTGGAGACCTAGCTCCATCGCTCAGACGCCCCAATCCCATGCAAAGGGTCCCTAGTCAACAAGTACCTAGGCGGTTCCTACTTGCTGACGGGGACTGACCCGCTGAGTTGACTGGCCAAAGGTTAAACTGAGCCTAAAGTTTGCTAACTCAACAGGTCAGTATCTGGTTTGACGGGAGGTGTGGAGAGTCCATGGGTTTCAGGTGGTCGTTTTGCCCTTGAGGCAGGGTGCCCTACATATTGCACGTGAGGGTGGCAACTTTTGGCAATCGAGCGACCCTCGCCAAAGGGTGAATAATTGGTTACTACAACTATTCTCATGCCATGACCATTATAGAAAGGTAAGCTTGAGAATGGTCACGAGCGTGCACACAAAGCCACATGGGTCCAGAGAAATTGTCGATCTCCGACCAACTTGAAGTTTCCCCAAAAAGGAGATGGACAAATTAGGTCGAGCCCCCGCCTTTTGCAGGAAACTTCCATGTGTCGCTCCTTCTCGTCCCTCCCAAATGAACCACAGTCACCACTTCAGCCCAAGGAACGATTCAAAGCTTCAGCTTCCCTGCCAGAGTCCGAACAACTCCTCAAAAAGGAACATAGAACCCAAGAAAGGTCGGGACCCCCTTCAGACTGGCACCCAACTCGCTTCCGTTTCGTCAAAAGCGTCAACCTAACTGTTTGGTTTGCCCAATCGTGTCAGAAAGTCTAAACTCCCGAACTCTGAAAATAAGGCCAGCTGATTCCAGAAAAAATGACAGCCTGGACCCCTGCACATGCAACCAACCTTCACATGCGAGGAGGAGCCTCCTTTCAGGGTACCCACCTTACCAAGCGCCTTACCAAGCGCCTTACCAAGCGCCTTACCAAGTGTGCCCGGTCAAAAAAAAACTTTGAACAATCCCAAGAGCTCGTCCGAATTTGTTGTCCCCAACCAGAGACCAACAACGGCGCAATCAGATGCTTTATGGATGTGTCGAAAGCAGGACCCTTCGCTGAGAAAATCCAGCTTGGCCACAGGATCCCCTGCAAAGGGTGAACTTGGTGGTTGTATTTCCGAAGACGATGGAAAACAACAAAACAACAAAGTGACAAGGCAAGTCAAGTCTGGTCACGACAAGTCCCGTGGATTTTCGTGGTTTCCGTGTGGCTGCTGTGTCTACAGGGGCAAAAACGCGGATGCATTTGCTTCTCCGAGAGCTGGGCCACTCCAATCACGTAGACCACCAAGGTCATCGAGCTTGGGTTGATGACCGTGGAACTCAAGGCCTGGCTCGGTGTTCGCGGACGCAGGGACATCACCTGCACGCCATCTTAGACATAGGCAAGCCCGGCACAATGGGGAACACCAGGGAAACATGGGGAAATCTAGGGACATACAGGGAAAACATAGGGAAATCACCGGGAACAGATAGGGAAACATAGTGAACACTTAGGGAACACATATGGAATCATAGCGAACACCTGGGGACATACGGTGGATGCATGAAACAAGTTGAAACCGGCTGACATACTTCTACCCATTGGTTTTGTGGCTTGGTGTGGTTGATTTACTCGCAATAGGGCCGGTACTTGGCCAGACGGATCTGCAAGAAGGTGAGTTAAGCCTGGCAATGAAACCCGTATGTTTGCCGTATGTGTTCCCTGTGTCCACTGTGCTTCTTGATATGTTTCCTACTCTAGGTGTTCCCTTTGTCTATAGGTTTTCCCGATGTTTCCCTAGGGTTCCCCATGTTGCCCTAGGTATTCCCTATGTCTCTCCATGTTTCCCCTAGGTTCCAGGACGGAAAAATCACTGAACCTCTTACTGCAAGCTTCGGCCAACATCCCGGCCATGGGTGCCTTCCATTTGGTTTCCCAAGCTCAAAAACAGTACCCCCCCTCAAACAATGACTCAAAAGCGCAACCGTTTAGTGTCCCTTGTCCTTTGCGGAGCCCTTCCGTCGCTTTTGTTTTTGTAACCTTTTGGCTGCCTGTAGAGGAAACCAGCCATTTTGAGGGCCTCAAAGAAGGACCCCCCCACCCGATTCCGCGAAGGATAGGGGTCCCCTGAAACCAGTGGCAACCGATTCCCAAATATTCCTCAGGGTGGCTCGGCCGAATCGATCAGCAAGGGACGGTTTTTGGTTTTTCTGCCCAAACATGGTTTGGTGATTGTTGTAAATGCTGTCTCTTGTGACGCCTGAACCGAACAACTCGCTACCCCGGCCAACTGGTTATTGTTGCTGATTGGCAGCAAAGAACTCCTGTTGATGCACAATCTACCAAGAGGGCTTCGTACCGAACTAATTTGCTTGGTCTCATTTGCCCGCCCTGACAGTGAGCCGGCACAGAAGTCAACCAACACGCTCACGCACATGCCAAAATATGTTCATTCACACGCTCATGGGAATCCACGTTCCAGTGACCCCTACTTCCGCCAGCACTGGACGGAGCAGACCTGGAAGACAAAGCGACAGGCCCCCCCCACAAAAGTTTTGCCAACACATCAAAAACTAGTAAGGCGATACAGAATCGGACCCGCCTGCGCAATAAGTGGGGCTGCCCTGGTGCTAAAAGTTGTTTAGTGGGATATGTACTATGGGTGTCGTTCTTTAGGCAACCTCAAAATGGCTTTGGCGTTCCTTTTTGGCTTCCCTCTACCAAACAAAGAGAAGGGTTCCAACAACTCCCGAAAAGGACGAGCCACCCATATGGGCCTCTGAATTCTACTAATTGACGCGGGTTCCACCTTAACTTGCTGGTTCTCCGGAAGGAATGACCAGGTGGGGAATGAACCTAGGGATCATAGGACACCACAAGGGATGGGTCTACAGGGGCCATATTTCTCATTTCCAGTCGGCGCAAGCGCAAGTTACGGTATTTTGTCCAACTCCAAACTCGCCCAAAGGCTACGTGTCGAGGCCCCGAACGCCTTGGCCAGCGTCAGGTTCCGGATCGCATCCGACAACTCGGGCGCGGCCACCGCAAACGGCGGTCTTACGACTCGAAACCTGTGCATGTCCATGGGGGAAGAAGGGGCGCCCTCTCTTGGTCCATGGGAAAGAACGCCCTTTACTTTGAAGACCTCCTCTTGAGGACTTAGGGATTGAATCCAGCTCTGGATGACCTGGGTTCGAACAGATTCCAACTAAAAAGGATGGGACAAAGACATGACAACGTCCAACAATGGAAAATCCATCGGAGGTACCGGGACGGGGTTGTGGGATCAAGGGGTTTCTCCCCACTTCTGCGATACAAGAAAATATCCCCCTTTACATCGGGGGTTCGTCTTTGCGAAGCCCATTTTGTTGCATCAAAGTGGATTCCATTTCCCACCACCCGTTGGGTCCGGCTCCATGAAGTTCATTCATGGAGGAATCAGTGAAGCAGCAAATAACCTTCAAAACCAAAACGATACCCCACCAATGTCATCTGCTCTTGCGGAGCAGGGACCTAATCGCGAGCTAATTTATAGGGACCTGGTGTGCCGTGTTGTTTCTGAGGGCGCTGCAATGTAGATGAGAATCAGCACATACTTCCGGCATGCAGAGCTCCTGACGTGCTTGGATGTTCCGATACTTCTGCCGGCGGACGAGAGCTCCTACCCTCAAAACAACCAAGGTGGTTGTGCCTTACAGTGGCTTGATGTGGGGCTGTAATTATACTAGTTGTATTGTGCATATATATATATATATATATATATACATATATATATATATAATACACACCATGTTTTCATGGGGTTGGGGTGGAAGCCCTCACGGAAGCCTCCACTGCATTCAGATCCTCACAGGAGGGTGGCCGCACGAGTTTGTTCATGGCTTGGCATTAGATAAAACAAGTGATGTGGGCACCAGTACATCTGACCGGGGACATGAGCGACTGATGCAAACACGAACAAAGTGAGACGACGTCAAACGCAAGTTGTACTCATGTTGCCAACCTGAAATACGGCACACCCCAGAAATGAAGCATCATTGGGTTTGCGCACCTTTTTGTGCGAGGATACCGTTCGCCCAGACATACATGTTGCAAGGTTTCTGAGCAGAAGGATAAGTAAACAAAGCTGGACGTCAACCCTGAGAAACACCTTTGAGCGAAGCTGGGGCTTTCAACCTCCTTCGCATACTATGCCCAGGTGAACCACCAAAACTCCAAGGAAATGTTCAGACACCGTTCCTCCGTTGATATCGGCACCTTTGTGTTCTGGTTCAGGCCATCAGGAAAATGGGTTTTGAAAAACAAACTTGGCTCTGGGAACTTCCGCAGAAACTTCGGGGCAAAGTATCGATCTTCTTTCCACCTTTGGCAACCAACCGGTACTGGACAACATCCGGTTCGATCGGCACCACTTGGAGGTGCGGATGTTGAAGCCCTACGAATACGAGAGGTCAATCGCCTGACCGGTGCGAAGTTCGGTGATTTTGTCCATCGGGGCATGTTGCAACAGTCTAGGGACAACTTCCAAGCAGCCCAATCCGAATTTCTCTCCGGCCGAAAGCCCGGCCAGCTGTTTGAAAGGAAGGATTGAAAAGAATGCTTGACTTTTTGCTTACCACTGGTCCAACGCCAAAAAGTGACCAAAGCAGGAACTCGAAAAATGGGATCCTTTGGAACTGCAATGGAACACAACGCGTGTCCGATGTCTTCGTTCGTTCGAAGTGGCTCGTAGAACACGAGCAAGCCACTTGCTCAGCGCTGTTGTTGGGTTTTTTAAGCTCAAACTTGCGGAGAAAAGTACTGTGGATGGACACAATCCGTTCGCACCACTTGGAAACCATGGGAAAGCATTTTTCATTGGTATTTACAGGGGAATCATCATGTCAGGGTTTCTTTGGTGGTGCAGGATTTCGTCCATCCACGGTATCAAGTCTCCAACCGTGTCCTCGAAACACAACTTGCCTGGATGGCTGATGACCGAATGTATCTTTTGGAGAAACATAGACAAGTAGCAACATGTTCAAATGTCCATTCCATGGGTGGAGATGGTGACCCTCTGTAAGGAAACCAGCTGACCTGAGCATGGCGATATCTCTAGCCGGATTCCCACGATTCCCAGGACTGCTCAATTACTTCAGGAAATCCTCTTGGCACTCGCGCAAGGCATGTCCGCTTCCTGAGGCTTCCTTTAAAAAAGAAATGTGAGTTATCTACTCAAACATGAATCGCAGGGGGGGGGGGGCCAGCCTTCTAAAATGGGGCCCAACCACTTTAGCCAAGGCGCCAAGTGGAGAGAGTTCTTTTGATCTTCTCCGTTTTTGGTCGCTCTTGTTGTCGATCTTCCTCAGCACTGTGCTTTCGCTGGCGGGTTTGCGGTCTTTCGGGTTGCTCCCGTTCGACTTTGATAAACCCCTGCAAATTCCCATGACTTGTGGTTGGTCTACTTGCAACAAGGGCGTCCAGCGTATCAAAGAATTGAAGTGGCCAAACGATTTGAACATGACTGCCGATGCGATCCGCAGCCTGATTGTCTGATGGTTGCTTTCCGGTTCTCAGGTTGCTGTTGTCCCACTGATGCCGACTTGCTGGTGAATGACCTTCCGGGTGTTGGGAATGAACTGGAAGGGAATTCCCCTAAAGGACACCAATTGAGGAATTTGCTTTTTTTGTTTTCTCGGGGTCATTCCATTTCGCTGTCCCTGCCTATCGCACCAAGCCAAAGGGTGACTCAGAAAAAGACGAGGCACCCAGCTCTCGGGGAAGCAACCGTCTAAGCTCCCGCGCCCGAGCGACTGTGCTCGAATTCGTTGCCGAGTCCTGCGCGACCGGACTTCCATCGATGCGAACGGGTCCGGAGGATTTCTTCGGCGAAAAAACGCGGGCAAACCTTTTTTTTGGATCACTTGCGGGTGCCCATCGGGCAGGGAATGAGAAGTGGAACCGGGAATCACCTTCTGGTTCATTCCCAACACCCGGAAGGTCTTTCCCTACCGAGCAACAGCAAGATTCGGGCAGCCCTCAAAGCTCGCAAAGGAGCAGGAGGAGGAGGAGGAGGAGGGGTATGTTTTTGTGGGTCTGAATTTGTGGTTTAAAGGGAAACCGTAGAATGGGGTCCGGATTATTTCATGTGGAAAAAAAACTTTTGGCCTGGCATCTAGTGTATTTCCTCCTTGTATTCTACCAGTCTGTGTGCTCAACGAATACAACTGAATACAATCGAAAAGATAGGAGTGTCGCCTTTTTGGGCGGCACTTCTTTTTTTTGGGCTGTTTCAAAGGGGGGAAGCAAAAGGGAAACCACCTGCACGTAAAACAAGGAGATCCTTTCATTCTGACAAAGGGTGTTATGATTGCTGTCCTTTTTGTCCTCTTGGTTTCCCTTTAAACACCCACCTATCCAAGCCACTTATTTTTGTGGCTACCTGGGGAAAACCCCGAAGCTTCCCCTCCGATTGAGACCACACGCTACCTGGGCCAGTGCCGCCGCTGCCCTCTCCAGGACCTGCCAAAGCGATCCGGATGCCCCGCTCCCCTCGCGTATGTTGCGTTCCTTCGATCCAAGTTCCAAGGTTCCCCCACCCCCCCGATTCTTTGTCGTTGTATTTTTTCTGGGTGGTTCGTTGGTTCCCATCGAAAGACTTTCTCGAAAGGCTGGTGAACTTGAGCACAGCCCGTTTTGCAAAGAAGAAGGAAAACAGCCTGCATTAGGCTTTGGCCCAGCTGCCTGCGGATCTTCCCGTTGGCCCTCAACATGTGGCCCAAGAATCCCTGAAGAACGCCACAAACACCACAAGATTTGCAGGCTCCCCCGAAGAGCACAAGTGCAGCAAACCTCAAGGCATGTGTTCACATCAAGTTGCGGGCTCTAGCTTGGTCAATACTCACCCTATCTTTAAACAAATATACTTTGTTCGCGTCACTACTTGAGTATGTGAGATGATACCAAACGTTGACCCAGGAAGTATGAAAAACCTCGTGAAGTTTCAAATTCCACCTCCTTGAGAAAATGCAGGGACCATTTGAATAGCTGGAAAAAGAGCTCGTCTTCGTCCTTTGTGAGGTGGGTGAGCAAGTCTCTCAGTCATTTTCTTGACTCTGGAGCAGGCTCACACAAAAACAGTGGGGCCTGGCTTAGTCGGTAAGAAGGCACCCCTGCAAGCAACTGGGCCTGTCTAGGCCATCCGCAGGCAAGCCAACAAGGGTCCAAGCATGGGAGCGGAAAAAAAAGGCGCCTTTTCTGTGATGCCAACGCCGAAAACTGGGGCATTCTGATGCCCGGCGCGCCTTTACGTTGTGTCTACCCAGCTGGAAAACAATGGAAGACAGGACCAAGATGATCGCCAGCCTCGGCGAAGCGAGGCATTCGAGCGATCGATGCGATTCCTTGGGGCATCGAAAGGGAATGAAGTGGAGGGCGGAACTCAGCACGGTGAAGAAAGCAGAAGGGGTATCCGCTGGGACAAACCTCACCCCCCAACCCCCACCTCACAACCGTGATCTCCATGACACGTGAGGGACGGGGGCACGAAACGTGACAGGCTCCCCAATGGAAACCGCGCGAAGCTGCTGTCTAAATATCTGTGTTTGTTTCCCGAATCTGGCAAAAGAGCACGACTCAGCAAACTGCTGCTGCAGTTTGAGCCTCCCGAAGGGCGTGAAGAAATGGCACAAGCAGAGAGCAAGTCTGCTGAGCATTCATCCAACCAACTTGGTCTTCATGTCGAAGTTCAAACCTTGACAACCAGCATCAAGCTAGCAAGCCAGAAGCTCGCTAAAAAATGGCACCCGCGTGTGTAACTCCAAACGCTCGCCTCGAAACGGGCGCACCCCAACCAAAGCGAAAGGAATCCAAAGCAACATGCACCGAATATCCCCGCAAACATCCATTTGGGCCCGTCCATGGCAGAAAGCAGCTGGGCTGTCCTCAGATGCCTTGCTAAAGCTTATCTTTTAGTGGGTTAAATGGAAACTTCCACCAAAACCTAAGCCTAAAACCTAAAAAGCTAAGGGGACGGCTGTGAACCGTCAAGGTAGATTGCACCAGTCCCATCAGCCATGACTAGAGGATTTGTGCCCCTCCCCCATGGCTGGAGGCAGAAATGAGACATGGCCATGAATCAAAACCCAAATCGTACCCCCAGTGAACATCCGATTCAATCCAACCACTGAAATAGGTTCTAAAATGGGTGGTGCACCGAAAATCCCCAAAAATGGGATCCAAAAACGGTTTTGACAACCACAGCCACATCTACACGTCGATTCGGAACCATGAACCCGGAACCCGGTCTTTGCCAGGAGAGCAGTCCGAAACAGGCCACCGTGGTTTATGGCTGTGACCCCACCGAGATGGCGGACAGGATTCTACCGAAACCTGAGGTCCAAAGTCCAAAGCCTCAGTCAACGGCTCCAGATCTTTGGGAAATCTGCGGGGGTTTCGGCCTTTGGCGTCGCGGAGCCCCTTTTTCGCGCAGAAAAAACCGTCGATTTCTAAGCTTCGCTGCCCATGTGGTTAAGTCTCCCCAAGAAAAGACACGGGTAAGTGTGTGCTCCGCGACCTGGAACAGGCATTTCGACCAACCCACCAAGCGAGCGGCATGATGGATGGCAGCTCCCGAGATTCGAAGCCCCACCTCGCAAGCGCCCGGCCGGGCCGTTTGCAGATGTGGGTGCTGCGTGAAGAGGAACTACTAGAACCCAAATGGATGTGGGTCCTAATACGGTAATTGCCCCAGCTTGGCTTTTTTTTTAAACCCACCCCAAGAGGGTTGCTAAGGTGGGTGACCCGTATGGGTTCAAACACGTTCCGAAATCGCATGAACCCTGTCACGGGGGGGGGGGGGGGGGTTGAAGGGCTGAAGATTCTGCGGCTTTGCACAGGACCAGTGCTCTGCGGAGTGACGTGACGCTCCCTCCAGGGGGTGGTGGTCAACCAGAACTCACTGAGCGTGAATGCAGACCTGCCAAGTCCCGTGCTGAACGCCTCGAGGCGCTGGCAGCAGCTCAGCACAAACCGTTTCGCTCCATAGCGTGACACAGATCTTCAACTTAGCTGCCCCTGGTCCGCCCCACTGGACATTGTGCTCTTCCGATTCAGTTTCTGCACTAAATAAAGCTGGCACTGGGTTGACTAGTTTAAGGGCATATAATGCCAAACACATCCCACCTTAATCCAAGTCTCTGGCTCATGTCTTGAAAGTCAGAAGCCGACCAAAGTGATCAAGCCAGCAGCTTCATTCATTGTGGCCCACTTGGATTGAAGGGAACACACACACACACACACATGTCCGACATGTTTTGCCACAAACTACAACGGTGATATCGGTGCCTTTAATGATATTGACTTCAATTCTTGGCGCAGTTAAGTTGATAACCTCAAACTAAAGCACTGTTCGCTTCGCCGCAGTCAGATTGCGTAGCTGGGGGGGGGAGCACGTGCTTTGCGTAGCTCTTTAGAGCTCTTGGCGATCAGATTGCGACACGCATTGTCCGCCGGAACCTGTTCGTTTCTTAGATTCTTAGAACCCTTCTCCGGGTCTACAAAATTCATCAGGTCGAGGGTGCTTGAGACTGCCTCGAATTTCGGGTCCCAAAATGAAGCCCAAAATGTGAAATTGGGGAGATTTGGTGCTTTGCGGTGCCTGAGGTTCCCAAATCTGGCAGTATGGGTCTGGCAACTTTTTTTTGTCGGTACCATTGAGGTTGGTTCGAAGGAGAAAGCCACCAATTTTGGGGTCCCCTACTTTAAGACACACCCCAGTCTTTTGCCTACCCTCCAATGTAGCTTAACTTAATTTTCGAGGAGACCGATTTGGGGGTGGGTTTAGGCCCTAACCCTGTTCACCCCCTCAAGTCCGGCCTGTTGCCCAGTATTGGGTCCTAGCCGCGTTCGCAGCGGGGTTGCCTTCACCGACCCATGGAAACCAAATGGGGGCCACGCTTTCTGTTGAACATAACTTGAAGACCCTCAGAGCATGGTGGACAAATATGTCCCTGCATGATAGATGTCCGCCAAATGGCACAAGCATTCCCACCACAACCCGGCTGGTCTGCAAAGATGCAAACGCATTGGAATCCCTCCAACAAAGGATGAAGAAACGCGACCCCAACACATTCCTGAGAGCCCAAGGGCCCAAATCGTGCATCTTCCCAGTGCTTTGAGCCCATGAAGCGTCAACACCCAAAAAGAAGCCCAGGATGATAGTCCGGCGAGGGTCCCCGCTTCGGTTGGAACGGTTGAGAGATCACTCCCCAGCCCTTACGTTTCCGTGTGTCTCTTTTTAGGGGACCACCCAAAATGGACTGCGGGCTTCCTTTCCGTTTTCCTTTTGAAAGCACCAAAACAGGGACCCTCAAGGAAGCACAGGGCCAATTGGGTGACAAGGCCGGATCTCAAATCAAAGGGATGTGAAGCAGGAGCTGTCTGAATCTGGAAACTGGGAATCCCCGAAAGTAAACGGGCCCCACAAGAGAGGCCCTTTGATTGACCTTCCGTTCGAAAATCCTTTCCCGTGAGGCTCAGATGCCCATAAAAATCTGAAAGCAGCGAAGACCCGCAAGGAACTCCTGAATGGGAAATCGCCCCTTGTCTGACTCAGTTGTTCATTGAAAACCTGAAACAAAAGGCGATCGGTCACCTTGACTAAAAATGGTTGCCAAATAAATCGGGGAAACCAGAAGGTCAAAAGGTTGACTCGCCTTGGGAAAGTGAGACGATACCAAGGCCATCCATATCCATGACTGTAAAGTGGACGCAAACTCAAACTTGCAAGTAAACCAACCATACTCAACCACACAACCATGGTCAAATACGTTAAACGAGAGGGGTTCCTTGTGCCCTCACCTGCTATCTTTAGAGCATCAACTGTAGCTCCATTGCTCTCCGGCATGTTCCGTTGAGTTGGTTGCAGGTGTTGCAAGATATCACTACTCCCTTCCTCCTTTAGAAAATTCTCATCTAATAATTAAAAAAATATCAGGCCAAAATCCAAAAAAAGACCTCACACCCAATACTACACCAGTACTAAGGGAGTACTTGCGGCTCGGCGAAAAAAGAACAACCAGTACGACAAATTCCAAGGCGTAGAGATGCTGCTCTCGTGATCCACCTGGACCTCGATGTCTGGCGCACGTCGCATGATCTGATGGTTGAGGAGTTTGGTATGCTTAGGTAGAAGCCCACGTCCAATCAGGCATTTCACGCCCGCAATCGCTCCGGTGAGGCTTTCTTTGAGAAAAACTCCTGTCTTCCCAGTAACCTCGAAGAGCGGAGCCGGAACAGTGACCACCTTATTCCCCGACATTTTCTCTGCCGTACAGAGTGTGCGGATCGATACGTTTGCCATCATCCTCACGAAGTCTTCACCTTTCGATACTGGCAATGAAAGCACCCCCATACCCATGGAGCCCGAGACTGCGCCGGCGAATGCACGGAGCATTCTCGTCTCCGGCGCATACGGGGCTTTGCAGAACTGCGCAATTCGGTCGCGGAAGTCAAGCGGAGTTTTCTTCAGGGAAGTGAGCGCCAAAGCTTTCTCGCCTCCCTTCGTGTGGATGTAGAATGTTGCCATGGTGCCAACGTCGGATCTCGAGTGGTAGGCTTTCAGTGCGACAAATAGAGCGGACAGCTGCTCAGTATCTTCGCCAACCGAACGCAAAATGGCCGTCATCAGAGGCGCCTTGAGAGCATTTCCACATAAGAAAATCCACCTTGCCAACCTCTTCCTCGGGGATCTCTCCTTGAAAGATATCGTTTCTGGACAGGAGCGCAGCGAAGCCTTTAGGCGGTTGCTTTGAAGAGCCGCCGCAAATCATGTGGGAGAGCTGCACGAACAAAGACGTCAGCCTTTCAGCTACAGCCTTATCTGTAGCCTTGGCCGTCAGACCGAATGCGCTCCTCAGCTTGCTCTCGTTCGGCTTTGCCGATGCGCCTTTGTTCCGCGGAGACCTGACGAGATAATTCCGGAAGGGTTCAGAGCTCCAATGCTGTACAGCGTCACAGCTGTCATTATCGTCCACGGACCGTAGTCCGCCCCGAAAAGGTTGACGAAATTCATGATCTTGGCAGCATTCCCCTCTTCGTTGATCATGTCCGGAACCCACTCTGTCACTTTTCCATTCTGAAACAGAGCGCGGGGAAGCTCGATGCTTTCGACTCCGATGGGCGCCGAGGCCGAGCATACCAGATCGACCTCTGTCACTCCATCGTCCCCAATGAGCACGTCTTCAACCTCGTCGCTATCTTCGTCCTCCAGTTCGGTGCCCGATTTGTGTGCAGTTTTGGCTTTCTTGGGCGGTGGAGTTTCTCCCGAAGCTGCTTCTCCCTTTGAAGACGAAGATTTCTTTCGTGGAAAGAGGTCATTCTTAAAAACAAGATTCTCGTCAGGATCCTTCAGTTCCAAGAAGTGCGCCATGGTCTCCAAATTGCCGATAGTGTCTCTCCAAATCTTCTTGACCGGGGTCAAAACACCTGTATTCGCATCCTGGGTCTCCATCCAATCGATCACGTAGTTCGTCAAGAACTTCGCATGGTTCGTAGGTCCAGTGTTCAGTTCTGGCGAGAAGTCGTTCGATGACTGCATCGTCGCCAGAAAACAACTCATCAACAGCCAGAGCTGTTCTAGCTGAATCCTGTAATTGACCTTCTTGAACGAGTTCTCGAGGGCAGCCAAAGCTTTTTTGCTCAGCGGCCTTCCGTAGATTTCTTTTTCTGCCTTGTCCACCAATCCCCGGAAGCGCGAAGAGTCTGCTTTTGTGAACTTCTCGTGGAAAAGCCCCACATGATCTCGGGTCAAAGGAGGGACACCAGGTTGGTTTGCCATAGCGCCAGAATTGCCAGCCATGAGCCAGACTTGCAGGCAGCCACAGAGAAAGTGCACATACGGCACCCAATGCGTAAGTTGCGAGCACCTATTTTTGGCACGAGGGCGAATAAGGCGACTTGCTGATGATGATAAAAACATTATGAGTTGCTGCTGAAATGTGCTGGAATTGCTGTTATGTTTGCTTGTGCTGCTTGAGTGCACCTGAAAGCTAAACGCCTTTAGAGCTTTTAGCTGATGGGCTTTCATCCTTTGGTGCCACCTTCCTCTTTCTGCGGGGGTACCTGAGCGCCGAGCGGAGAAAAACGAGAAATGTGTAGCTTGCAAGTTTATTTTGAAGCTGACAAAAGTGAGATAAATTGCTTAATAACACATAAAACGACCAAACAAAAAATGACAACAAGACAGACAGAATAAAATTTAAAAATGTTAAAAGCCAAGGAGCGAAAAGTTCAAGTGCGAGCAAGTCATTTGCTGGAGCAAAATCGACGGAAAATCTACAAAATGCTTAATAATATTGAAACGGCACTTGCATCTTGTCGTAATTAAACAAGTAAAATGTATGTGTTATAATTTAGTCGTTTAGGGTTTAGGGTTTAGGGTTTTCCACCCAGAATACCGGGTGCCGATTGGTTGTGAAGGTTTCTCTTTCGCAAGTGGAACCTTACCTCAGGGCCGTCCTGGGCCACCCCAGAGCCTATCTGGGCTGAGACCCCAAAGCTTTCAGCTGTTGGGGGAAAAACAACTCATCGGTTCCGACCACTTTCCGGAATTGGCGAAATGTGCGAAACGGATATTCGGAATCGAACTCATCTCGGAAGCTGCTGAGAGCTTGAGAAGCACTCCAGTCTGGGAACCCAGCTTAGAGGCTAGGAGAGAAGCTATGGATTTCGTGTTTTCGCTCCAATGAAGCGAGGGTTCCACCAGGGTTCCACCAGGGTTCCACCAGGGTTCCACTGCGGGGTAGTGCGAGCACTAAAAAGAGCACCGCATGCTGTTGGGGATGTCACCTGAGCCTATTGCTTTAAGGACTCCTCCAGTGGCCAGCTGGAAATTTTCCTAGAGGAAGAAGGACCCTGGGCTCTATGAATAAATATGTCCCCCCCCCCCCAAAAAAAAATAAATAATAAGCTCAGGCCATATCCCCAACAGCACTACACCCTCCCAGAATCGAATCCTCGCGGAAGCACCGCGACCGGTTTTGCTGAGGATGCCGTGTTGTAACTTTGTAAAGCAAAGCTAAGAGTGACAGCGCAATCGCGCCCTGATCGGGGCCCGACGGCGCAATCGGGGCCCGATCGGGGCCCGACGGCGCAATCGGGGCCCGATCGGGGCCCGACGGTGCAATCGGGGCCCGATCGGGGCCCGACGGTGCAATCGGGGCCCGAGCGGGGCCCGACGGCGCAATCGGGCCCCGACCGGGCGCGATATGTGCCGTGGTGCAAGCGGGCTCCCACCAACCCCAGCCACATATTATAGCTCAACGCCGGTTTTGTGTATCCAGCAAAACTAGGCCATGCCAGCTTGGTACAGTTGACGCGGCCCGACTGGCACAATCGGGGCCCGATCGGGGCCCGACGGCGCAATCGGGGCCCGACGCCGCAATCGGGCCCCGACCGGCAAGCGGGCTGCCACCAACCCCAGCCACATATTATAGCTCAACGCCGGTTTTTTGTATCCAGCAAAACTAGGCCATGCCAGCTTGTGGTACAGTTGACGCGGCCCGACTGAGTCCGGCCCCGATCGGGGCCCGACGGCGCAATCGGGCCCGACGGTGCAATCGGGCCCCGACGGCGCATTGCCCGACCTGTGCCCGGTGAACCTCGCACAGCTTTTGCAGAACCTGGTGGAAACCTCGTGGAGCGTAATGCCAAGCATTTACTCTGCTGCACAGTGAGAGTCCCGCAGCAACGTGATTTGATTTGCAACAAAGCCAACACTTCGGGTCGCACTGCCTGAAGAAGTGAGCAAGTGACAAAACATTGAAAGTGTGCTGAGAACCATGAACTTCGGTTTTGCTTTGTGTTCCGCCCATGAGCAAGGCGATCTTCTGAGCAAACGACGGGCGCACGACATATTGTTTTTCCTTAGGGCAAACCATGGAACCTTGCGAAACCTTTGTGGAAGCTTTTGGCGCCTTGTGGAACCCTTGTGAGGGGAAGGGGCGCGAGTCAGCTTAGTCAGCTTTGGGGGGGTGTGCAGCGCAAAGGGGAAGGGGCGCGGGTCAGCTTAGTCAGCTTTGGGGGAGGTGTGAAGGGAAAGGGGCGCGAGTCAGCTTAGTCAGCTTGGGGGGGCGCAAAGAGGAAGGGGCGCGAGTCGTTCCAGCATGGTTTTACCAGGTTCTGCAAGGGTGGTTTGCCCTGCGGGGTGGTCCGGGGTGGTTTGAGGTAAGGTTCCACAAGATTTCTCCACCAGTGTTCCGCCAGTGTTCCACCAGTGTTCCACCAGGTTCTGCGAGGGCTGCAGGGTGGTCCGAGAAGGTTCCGCGGGGGGTTCCGTCGGGGATTTGCACCAGGTTTGAGTTCCGCCCCCTGGTGGAACCCTGTGTGGAACCCTCGTCTTGTGGAACCTTACATCAAACCTCGCAGAACCTGGTGGAATTTGGTGGAACGTTGGTGGACCCTGCTGGAACCTTGCCTCGGACCACCGCTGCCCTTGCAGAACCTGGAACCCTGGTAGAATGCTGGTGGAACCTTGCCTCAAACCACCCCGGATCACCCCGCAGCCCTCGCAGAACCTTGGAACGCTGGTGGAACTCTCGTGGAACCTTACCTCAAACCACCCCAGACCATCCCGCAGCCCTTGCAGGACCTGCTGGAACCCTGTGTGGAACCCTCGTCTCGTGGAACCTTACATCAAACCACCCCGGACCACCTCGCAGAACCTGGTGGAACCTTGCCTCAAACCACCCGGGACCACCCCGCAGCCCTTGCAGAACCTGGTGGAACACTGGTGGAACTTTCGTGGAACCTTACCTCAAACCACCCCAGACTATCGCAGGACCCCTGTGTGGAACCCTCGTCTCGTGGAACCTTACATCAAACCACCACCACCTGGGCAGAACTGGTGGAACCCCGGATCACCCCGCAGCCCTCGCAGAACCTGGTGGAACCCTCATAGAACCCTGGTGGAACCCTGGTGCAACCCTGGTGGAACCTTGCCTCAAACCACCCCAGACCACCCCGCAGCCCTCGCAGAACCTGGTGGAACCCTGGTAGAACCCTGGTGGAACCCTGGTGGAACCTTGCCTCAAACCACCCCGGACCACCGCAGCCCTCGCAGAACCTGGTAGAACTCTGGTGGAACCGTGGTGGAACCCTGGTAGAACTCTGGTGGAACCTTGCCCCAAACCACCCCAAACCACCCCGCAGCCCTCGCAGAACCTGGTGGAACCCTGGTGGAACCGTGGTGGAACCCTGGTGGAACCCTGGTGGAACCCTGGTGGAACCTTGCCTCAAACCACCCCGGACCACCCCGCAGCCGCGTGGAACCCGTGGTGGAACCCTGGTGGAACCCTGGTGGAACCCTGGCGGAACCCTGGTGGAACCTTGCCTCAAACCACCCCGGACCACCCCGCAGCCCTCGCAGAACCTGGTGGAACTTTGGTGGAACCCTGGTGGAACCCTGGTGGAACCCTGGTGGAACCCTGGTGGAACCCTCGTGGAACCTTACCTCAAACCACCCCGGACCACCCCGCAGCCCTCGCAGAACGTGGTGGAACTCTGGTGGAACCCTCGTGGAACCGTCGTGGAACCTTACCTCAGGGCTGCCCCGGACCACCCCGGACCCTATCTGGGCTGAGACCCCAAAGCTTTCAGCTGTTGGGGGAAAAAAATAAAACGGGATTTAATAGGGGAAGCGATTACAAGGGGCATTTTCTAGCCTAACCTCCTCACATGAGAAATTGGGGGGGGGGGGGGGGGGGTTCAAAGCTTGCCGCGCCAAGTTCCAAAATGACCCGATCGATCTGATTGTGTCTTAAAATGGGGACGGGACCCCACTGGCAGTTGTCCCTTTGCTTTCCCTTCAAACCCATCTCACAAATTGTGCTGGGACACATTTGGCGGACCTGAGCAACCCATCCGCCCATCTGACGAGACCTTGGCAACCCAAGAACTGAGGGGTAATTGTCCCTTGTGAGTGCCCAAAATGGCTGGGTCCTGAAAAGCTTCTTGTGGGAATCTTAAAAGAAAACCAAACGGATAGATTAGACTTGATACCCATTTTGGGGTTGCCTTTTCAAGAACACCAAAGGAACAGGCATTTTGGGGGTGACAAGACCGCATTTGTTCAAATCCTAATTGAGAGACAGAACCTGTTCAGGGGTTCCTTGCGAACAGAAAACTATATAGACTTCCCACAAACAACCGGGACCCGGAGAGAATGCGACGCACATCGATTGTATATCAGCTTCCCTCTATATGTGGTGGTTTGGTTTGGTGGTTTGGACGCTGAGGAGTACCTTCCCCACTTGGTTTGTAAGAATGCTGGGGCTCAACCCCCAAACCCACCAGTTCAAACCACCAACTAAGGCTAACCTGAGTATAGGCTGCTAGTTTCTGCCAAAATTGTGTGACGTTGTAACAGTGCATGAGTGTGTGTGTGGGTGTGTGGGTGGGAAATCAAAGGAAACCGTGGCCACCAACAAGGAGGCTTCAAACAACGGGTTTCGAAACGCCTCAAACTCCGCTAAAGTTGGGTAAAAAGGCAAGGCGCTACAAGAAAAACAACGACCAAACAAAACACGACCAAACAAAACAAAACAAAACAAGAGGGTCAGGTTTCCGTGACCCGTCCTCAACCAGCATGGTGAAAATGTAGCACAGGGTCTGCATGATCGCCTTGAAGGTGGTGGAATGCCTGGGATCGACATCGATCTGCCGTGGTGCCCAAAGAGAAACCTGACGAAAGCCATCTGGGTGTCCTCTTTTGTGGGGGGAGGGTTCTCCCTTGGAGTTCTTGTCAATTTTGACCATGACCAACCTTACGAAAAGCCACAACATGGGGAAACTGCGGGAAATTTGGGAGCTCCCCTTGTGCCTAACTCAATGTTTTGCAAGTAAACCAACCATACTCAACCAAACAACAATGGTAAATTGCCTCACTTGCAACTAAAAGGCCCTTTCTCAGAAACGGTGATCACCTTTGCATGAGCAAGGCACTACCCTCTCTCGAACAGTTACGCAAGAATCAATCCATGGCGCTTGGAAAGATCTGGAGCCACGGTACTTGGCCGGTGCTATTTCACAAACTCGAAAGGAATCCCCGAGGAAGGGGAGGAATCCCCCAGGGGAAAAAATCCCCAAGTCAGCGAGGGCTGGGCTGTTAAGAGACGCCACTTTGGGGCCTCCATTTTCCAGGGACTGGCAAAAACATGTGCAGAAACATCTGGCAAAAGCTGCATCCGCATCCGGCGGATGCGCAAAGCTTAACCCTGGTCAGGGAGAGTTGGGCATCGGATGGTTGGCTTCCTCAAAAAACAAACGATTGATCCCCCTGTCCCCTCAAAAGGCGGAAGAGCAACATGCCAACTGAAGATGAATCCGCAACCCCAGCGTCTCCTGGACCTCTCCATGGCGGTGTCGCTCAGTGCGTCCCAGTCCCAAGAAGGAGAGGGCACGAGGATGCAGTACCGAGCTTCAGTTTGTCGATCCTCTTTTTGTCACAAGTCATGGAAGTCCCAGACCAGTGGATTTCTATGGGAAAAAAGAGGTTTCGCTTCAAACCGAAACAAAACATGGGTACCCTCAAAAAAGAGACACCCGGCTAAGTCGTTAGTTCGACGTGGGCTCCCGGTGAAGCTGCAAAAGGGCCGAACCACTGGGCGTCGGAAGCCCGAAGCCCGCAGCCCGCAGCCCGCAGCCCCGGGGCGCCGGCTCCTTGGTGACTAAGCCGGCGGACCAGCCTGGCGACGCGGGTTTCTTTCTCGCGAGAGACGCACGAAGGCCTCTGGAGGCCTTCGTCTGGCGTACAAAAAAAGAGCCGGGTGTTAAACATATTGGCCAGACGCGGACCCCCTGCAAAAAGATTTGTGAACTGTTTACTAGTTGGAAGAGGAAATGAAGGAAGACCAAAACGGCGAAAAGTTAAAAGGGTGAAAGTCTGGCAATGCAAATGTCTACCCAAAACCATGTAAAGAATCGCAAGGGCGGATATCCGCACCCATTTGTGGTTGGGATTGTCCCCAACCTTCACTTGCCAAGGCTTTGATTATGGCTCTGGCCAGATCCACATTCACAAGGGGCCCGAAAAGTGTCCCCCCGTGAAGCATCCCCCGTCTGATGGGGTCCATAGCTAAGTGCAAAAGGTGAGGAGTTTGCAGGTTTCATACCAAACTGATTCCAAACTGGATTTCAACCACCATTTGAACTGACCAAAAGGTGATAGCTTCACTGCTCCTGATAGCTCCCTTGGGTACCTTCATTTCAGAACGGGGCGATTACTCCTTGGGCTTCTGCAAAAAGGCCTCCCACCAACCGGCACGGGGCACGCTTAAATTCCTGAAAGGACCATTTGGCCTCCTAAGTGGACCTTTTGATCCCAACAAACTATGACAACCACAGAATTTGTCGAGTTAACATTTCACGCCCATTCACCTGTCAGGTGCTCTTTTTCAAGTGGGGATTGCGCCTTGAATCACGTCAACCACGACCACTAGGACCTGCCACCATGTCCTGCGTTGCGCAAGCGTTGGCGATCGGCGCCCGATTTGGATCGTCGCCAATGGATCAGAATGCAAAGGACAAAATAAACACTTGGCTGAGGTGCCCGTGTCCTCGAATCCGGCACCACTTCTGGGGACTTGGCGGCCCAAGGGACAATCGGGCCCCAGGAACAAGTTGCACCGTAGCAAGTCCCTGCTGCCATCTGTAGGATGGCCAATCCCGCCGAGAAGGGGTCAAAAGGAAACCCAGTAACAGCTGTAGCTTGTGTAGTTCCAAGCTGATCTTGTTTAGCTGCTTTTGATGAAAAAGACTCACTTCTTCGATGATTGGAGCCCGACCATCCACCAATGTTCCTTCGAAAGACTCCCAACTCCGAGCACAAACCTGAGACCAAGGTCTCAGTCGCCTTCCATATGGATGTGTATTTTGGAAATGGGTGTGGTGTTTTGAGGTTTCCCGTCACCTGCACCAACCAAACGCTACGGTGATACTTGACAATCCTCTGAGACCCTACAAAACGAGAGGGCGGGAGGCCTCAACCCTCATGCCCCAACTAACCTCGGAATTCGAAAGCTGCCAGCCCGGCCGTGGAAGAGTGATGCGCTCGACATGTCAAAAAAGCACATCCTTGCTTGTATGGGTGTCTTTTTTGAGGGTACCCCCTTTCTGGCGGCTTGAAAGGAAAACCACAAGCAACACCACCCATTTTAAGGGAATCCCGTATTTTGAGACAAACCCATACGTGGGTTGCGAAGAAGGAAACACCCTAACACATGGCCAGACTGTTCCTTCCGACTCTGCACCTCGAGGAAGTGTTGTGGAACCTATTCGAAAGTCCTAAGAGCTTCAGGCAAACTCGGTTACAGCCCATGGAGGCTTGTGGAGGGATATTTTGATGAGGGCATTCAAACAATTCTGATTAACTCACGTTCAACCAAGCGCCAGGGCCGAAAACACAAAAAATCAGACTCGGGGTTCGCACCGTACCCAAAAAAAATACGTCAATGGCCATAGTCCACCCCACCCCAGCCCTAGCGGCATCGGTCCAGCGGCCGAACCACTCGGGCGTGCTGGACCACATGGCAAACCAGTCCGAAAAGGCGTCTTCGCGGCCTCCAAGGCCCGCGAATTCGACATTTTCGGCTCCTTAAGAAACGGAGACGAAACGCGAGGGGTACCACATGAAACGCGAGGTTGAGCGGGGTGTAAAAAATTGCAATAAACCGTTTTCAACATCGAGGGCCACAATTACCCGTTTCCGCATTGGGGTCCTGCCACAATTGCCTTCCCAATCACCAATCTTTGATCTACAGGGCGAGGTTCTCTGATCGCTCGCCCAGTTTGGACCCAGAAATAATAGGCGATCACCTTCTGGGACCTTCACATTTCACGTGGACCATGGAAAAACCAGATCCGCTCAGATCAAAAGGTCGATTTCCTTACTGGAGAAATCCTACCCAGTCTGGCATTCCAAGAGGAAACTGGAACCAGCGAGGGTTCCAAGCATTCCAACAAGGCAGTCTCAAAAAGGCAGAGAGGAATCAAGAGCGGTTCAAACAACCCGACTAATTGCTTTCTTTTGAAGGGGCACCTAAAGGTACACATTGAAGGTCTTTAAAGGGCAACCCTGGCTATACATGAATCAGAAGCCCACCTTAAGTCATAGAAACTAGCTACAGGAATCTCGAGAGCAAGTAGCGAAACGCCCACCAAAAAGAAGGAAAATGAAACAAGTTCAACGAGGAACCTAGGTAGAAGCAAGTATATAAGGGAATGTCAGGTGCACAAGGGCTTCATGAAGGTGCTGGAAAGGAAATCACAACCATGCATTGCTGGGTGATTGCCCTCCCACATTGCCGTGGAACACAGAATCTGGCTACGTGTTCATCTGGCCCAAGTAGAGGAACCATCCTTCAAAAATTTATGAAACACCCAAGAGGAACACCCAAAAAAACGAAAGGAACACCCCAGCGCATGGTGCGCTTTCGGTTCAGAAACCCCGCGAATCAGAAGCCGAATTGAAGTGATCGAACTGATCGGATCGGGTCCCACGGCCTACCAGCAAGTGGCTGATGCCCCACAGCAAGAGGCTCAATAAAAGAGACGTCACGTCGATGTGAACCTGCCAAACAACCCGAAGCCCGAAGCGGTATCCCCTTGGTGAACCGGTTCTGCGGTTCTGCGGTGAAAGAATTGAATTCGGCACAACTCACTTAAAAAAGGACTAACCACAAAATGAATCAGATTCGCCATCGACTTTCACCCAATTGTGTTGGCTTCTTATGGACGCCCATCGCGTCCGGAATTTGATGGAAGGGGCTATCTCAATAATCCTTTCGATTTGGAAGCCATCCAAAACGCTGGATCCGCCAAATGCGCTGGTGAATGTAATACGTAAGACCCATGGCAGGAATCCATCACGCGTTTGAAAACATGCACAGTACAATGGTGAACTTAGCATCCGCAAACTACTTGAACACAGAATCCTTTCCCTGGCAACAACCCCGTCATCCGCACCTTGGCTTCAGGTTCCTTGAAGGATACCTCCCACAACCACCTGCTTGACTAGGGATCCTCTAAATCAGCTCGCATTTCGGCTCACTCCTCCAAAAAGATCGGACTGCCGGAGTCAACCAACACGAGGACTCCCGGAGCTCGGCCGGCACCGGGCAAAACTCACGGGTGGGGGAGGGGGAGAGGAGGTTCCCTACGCAACACACATGGGCCGTATGATTTAAGGCAGTCCTCCAGATCTGGATGGCGCCTTGGGCCCCTTGAAAACGGCAAAACCACTCCACGATCGGCATACAGCTCGTTGTTGGCGATGTGTGTATCAGTGTATCCCTGCAAAGGTGGTTCTAAAGGAAAGCCAAAAGCAAAGCCGGAGCCATTTTGGGGCTCCCCACGAAACAGGAAGCACACCCCATCAAGGCTGGTCCCAACCCAAACCTTCAGGCTGAGCGACAAACCACTCCTCACGCAGCTAACTGGGCTCTCCGTTTTCTGATCCCCTGCTAAATGTTTAACTTCTGGATTAAATGGAGACCCCCACCAAACCAACTAAAAACCTAAGAGCCTAAGGGGGCTGGGAGCCAAGCTGAGGGAGGGTACCTGAAAGATCAATCAATCAATTGAAGGCCCCAGCTATGGCAACGGAGGGTACATCTCCGATCCTCCGTCGCGCGGTGAAGTGACGCCTCACTTGCTCCCTCATAACCTTTCTTTGTGCGACCCGACTGGGAGTCCTGCACCTAAGATGGATCAAGCCCCCGGAAAACCTAAAATTCCGCCTGGGGGTTTTGCCGCCACAAGCGCCCCGAATCCGCCTTCATGATGTAGAACCTGCCCTGCCACCAGGTGAGACCGCGCCTTAGCAATCGCGTTGCGGGTGCAAAGCGCTTCTTTCCAGGGTACCCTTTTCACCTTGAAAGGGAAGCCAAACCGAAGAACTGCTTTTTTGGGGGTCCCCCTACTTTGACACATACCTAGGTGGGTGGTGGTCTCTCCATTTTTGGAGGGCAGTCTTTTTTGGAGTAGATTGAAAAAGAAACCCAAAAGGAAACCCCGTTTTCGGGGTGGTTTGAGGGTGGGTCTTACACCTACCGAAACGGCCCACCTTTCGGGACCTTGACGAGCTCGTTTTTGGCCGAGGGAAACCTTTGGCGAATTGGAAAGCGGAAAGCCTCGAAGGTCGATTCGTGTTGGGCAACTGGGCTCTCTTTCGTCTCCCTGCTTCTTTTTCGACCCTTTTTGGTGTGGTTTCACACACAAAAGGGAAAGCCGGAATTCTTGTTCGAGGCAAAAGGCAAAAAGCCAACAGAACAACCATCCAACTTTGGGAATGAGTTTTGACATACCCCTTCCAAGGGACATGAAACTGCGCGGTGAACCCTTCCCAAAAGGTTGCAAACAGTTTTGGGGTTGGTTCAAAGGGAGATTAAAGGGGAAACCAGCAACTCTGCGTTCCCCTTGCAGCTAGACACACCAATAGAAAGCCCCTTGAGAGAGGTCTGGGAAAAACTCGGGGGGAGGGGGGGGCCTGAAAAAACATCACCCCAGCAAGGAGAAATATCAAGGATGTTGTTTCAGACACCCAAGAGATCCGGACCTTGTATCCCCCTGTGGCTTGCAAATCAATAAAACCTATGCCAATGTTGGCATCCACCCAACTTGCCCCAGAATGCGCATCTGTGAATCCCACCGGCCTGGAATGCCAAACGCAAGTGTACCACACTCTTGTACCACCAAACAAAAGCATCCGTTCACCTTCCATGAATTCTGTGCTTTTGGGATTGTGGACATGGCAAAATGGCTCGTGCCAAGGATCAGACAAGGAAACCACACCTGTGTTCTACCCAAATGCATTTCTGGCAAGATTTCGGAAAGGCCGCACTTTGTTGGGTTGTTGATTTAGAGAGAATAGAGCAAAACACCTGTTGATAACTATTTCTGAATGTTTGGAGCCCGGTTTGGTTAAGGAGGGGCTTCCCATTGACCCACAAGAACCAACAGTGCAAACCTCCAAACCCAAGCGGCGCCGGGCCCCGATCCTCAGGCTCCCGGGCGACTTGTGCTTGTAAATCCGCTCCGCAAAAATGGAGCCTCGAAGCTTTCTTGGAACCCCCAATTCGCCGCCATAGGATTTTGTTTTTGAGGATTGGACGTCTTGAGGGTTCCTTCTTCCAAGTATACAGGGGAGGGGAGTGGTTGGGATCTTGGTAGGTCACGAACTTGCCTCAGTGGGCCGAAAAGAGTCCAACTCAATGTGCTCGCAGTCAACTGTGTCCTTCTTCATCCCCTCCTTGGATGTTCCAAATAGCGGCACTCTTTCTCCGGGCTGACTGCATCTTTCTCCACATCTGCGTCGTACTCGGTCTCTTCTTGCCCTCCTTCTGCTTGGGAGTCTGAGCCTCTGCACAATCTTTCGTCAGGAACCACTGGGTTCCGAAATCGGATGCTACAAACATGGCGCAAGGATTGGCGGGTTGACCCCCGAGCTGTCGCACGCCAACGCTGCACCTCTGACCATTTCCCTTAGGTAATTCCGCCCACTTGAGTCATAATGAAAACCCGGTACTAAAATGGTCTACCCAGCACCATATAAAGAGTCTTGGCCGCAACTAATTTTGGCTGGGGCTTTCCCTCACTAACCTTCATCCACCCATATTTAGATTATGGCTGTCGACCCCGGATCAATAAACTGTTAGACTAGGGGGGTGGTTGTTTCAGGAGTGAAGGTTTCCCACAAATGGGGCCACTCCCTATGATTCAACCAGGAGAATCTAAAAATCCCGGGGTCCCAGGTTAAAACGATAACAAGAAACAGACAGCACCGATTTTTGATGGTCGTGCCCCAAACGGGTTCCTTTGGAAACCGCAAGCCCTGGGGTTTGAGCATCCCCGACAGCAACGGTTACGGGCACCTGTTGTCTTTTTTGGGGTATCCCGTTCTTTGAAAGGTCGGCGCCAGGGTCCCTGAAGAAACCAGACACATTCCAGCCCTCAGCCCCCCCCAACAACCAAACAAAAAGACAAGAAAAAGAAACAACAAGTGCGAGAGGTCCCTCCTGCGCAGGATCTAAAGCCAAACTCTGACTGACCCCAAAGAATTCCCCAGCGTGACATCCGAATCCCAACGACCAATTCGAACATGCCAATATCAGCTACAGCCAAGGGACACGGTTGAAAACATGCGTTCTGTTGCGATCGTTTCACAAAGCACCCCCGTCCCCACCTTTTTGGTATCCAAACTTTGTCTGGGCGAGGAAAGGAAATTGCGGGGACACGGCGGTTCGCGAGATTCCCTCGTCAGGCTCCCTCAAACATGGTGACCAAAGGCTTGTTGTTTCAAAAATTAACTACGTTTCCCAACAGAATTCACCGTTTTTCACCTTTTGATGGGTCGCTTGCCCAAGAGGAACTCTTTCTCGGGAGGGGGGCACATCTTGCCAGCTGATTGGTCCCCGGTCCAAAGAGGCCCCAAACTCGACCCCAAGGTGTGGCTCCGTCCCGCCTGTGACACTGAGAATCACTGCGCACACCTGAGCAGGGTGTCCATCCGATTTCGACAAGCGACCCAACGAAAAAGATCATCAGAAGCTACATGGCCATGAATCAAATCCCGTACCCCCAGTGGACATCCCAATCCCCACCAAAATAGGGGTGGTGCACCCACCCCAAGATGGTACCATTGGTTTTGACCCACAACCACATCTTTGCAGATATGCCTCCCCCCATCATCACCTTATTTGCTTAAGCACCCCACCCGATTCCAATTATTTAGGCACTTGTGGTTGAGATGTGGATCCCGACATGGGGACCAGCACGGCGCATGGAAAAATGAGGGAAGGCCCAACCCGCCCTTGCAAGGCTAGCCCTATTTATTGGGACAGGCCCATGCCCATGTAGTTGTGGCACGTCGTTTCCTAGCCACATGTGAAGACCTTATTCGGAATGGGAGCCTAGAGCTCCTCGCCCTCCCGCCCTCTGGGTGGTGTGAAAGAATGGTTGGAGGACATGAATCCCAAGGTTAAGGGCCCCCCATTAACACTCATACCCAGGTCTGAAAACAAGTTGCTTGCACATCCTATGAACCAATGGAAGAGTTGGAAGGGCAGAAAACAGCATCTACTATATATATATATATATATATGTAGCTGTAACATATTATATATATACACAATACGGTTGGGCCAAACCTTCAGCCGCCCAGATTTTGATGGCTCCCTTAAAATCGGTCGGGCTGACACAGACATGCCTCCAACTCAACACTTGACACTGCTAACTTCTCCAACCTCTGCAGGAATCCTGTCCTCTAGTGGACTTTGGGAAATGACTTTCCTTTGCAGAGATCGCATAAACAGAATGGAGACTCCCAGAGATTGACCTACTTGCGCGAACCGGACTCAACATCTGCGGCTACGGAATAAGGGGTCTCTTACAAGACTTCGGATTAGCTTAGCCTCTGTTCTTCTTTTTCGGATTCAAGGTCAGTTGGGTCCGGTGCGATTGCAAAGCCATCGAGCTTGATCTCTATGGTCCCCCGAGATCGGCAGATCCCGACCTCGCCCCACCCGCTCTCTTGGGCCGGACCCCTTAAGAAAACCTGGGGGGGTTCCGCGGCCTCCCTGGCTCCTCCCGCGGCGAAAGAAAAAATAAAAAATCACCCAACTGCTGCGTTGTTTTGTTTTTTATCGACTCCGGCGCAAAAGTCTGAGACCCCTTCCGGGTGAAAGCCGTGTCTTTGGCTCCTCTCAACGCGGCCACACTTTCTTGAGCCCGGCGCGAGGAGCGAGAAGCCCGCCGGCGTGAAGGAGCTTTTCAGCCTGGCGAAGCAGGGCAGCCCAGCTTTCGCCGTGCGCGTTTTGTTTCTCCCACGGACGTTTGCTACCAATGGAAATCGTCGCGGGTTTTTCTCCCACGGACTGTTGCTGCCAATATAATAACGTCAAGCTTTGCATGGGCCCTTCTTTCTTCCAAAAAAACCTAGCAAATTGGCATTGTAGGGGGCTTTGGGCGCTGCTCCAGTAAGGGTTGTGGGAATGAACCTGATTCCCAGCAAAAACCGTACGGGATGGTTCAGATCGGGGTTCCCTTCCCTGAGAACCAGCCAGCTGCGGCAAGACCTGGTATACTGGTCCCTTCGGGCGGCACCTTCATTTGCCCGACTTGTTGATTGTTGATTGTGGCTCATCGTTTTAGCAACCTCTCAGCTTCCCTTTGCAGGCTGGTTCTTCGCAGCCAGCTTCGCCGGGGCTTCTCCCGGGGTCCAGCGGATTCCAGTTTCGGGGGTTCGGCTCCTCCACTGACACAGCCGAAGAGACTCCCGGGCCGAACATTGCAAGGGGGCCTTCCAAAAATCAGACCCTTTGATTCACGGTGAGGCGTAGAAGGCAACATCTCGTTTCCCTTTGGGTTCACCACCAACAAGCTTGTAAGTCTGACAAAAGACGAAAATTTGCCCCAAGGTGCTGCAGCTTTGCCATATCGCCAGCTTCCCTCCATGCCCCCTCAAAGGGACTTTCCAGAGGGCGACAGAAAGCCGCCAAGGAGCTTTCGCTCTTTGTCGTCTACCCTCAAATCGCAGACCAGGTGATGTTGTTTTCCCTGGGATGAGTCTCTGAAGCTCGGCAAAAAGTTGACCTGATTTCTAGTCAGGGAAACGCCCGTAATTGTCTGAAAGATTAAAAGGTTCGTGCCGGCCTCAGCAAAACAAGTACCAACCAAGAGAGGCTCAAAGAGGCGGGCCCTGCTTTTCACGATCAGCTCTCAAGCTAGCTCAAAAGAAAACGAAGCGCGAAGGGCTGGTGCAGCCGAAAGACCTGTAGAAGCTGAGGCTGCTGCGAGTTCAAGCTGATGCAATTTTGTGGGGTGGCCAGTGACCAATGCGGAGGCCATGAGCCTGTCGAGAGGATGGTAGTCTTCTTCCTCCAAACCTCTATACCTCGGCCGCGCCGCGAGTGCGGCAAGCGACTCGCAAGCTGAGAGTGGGTGTCTGTTTCTTTGAGGCATGGTACCCTTTCTGGGGTTGGTTTAAAGGGACACCCAAAGGACAAACCCACGCACTTCCTGAGTGAACTGGCCAACCGGCACGGTCTCTCTTTTTTAACCAGCAAACTGGATCTGCCCAGGGAACAAGGGCTGCGGGAGCGAGAAATCCCTCAAATCTGCGGGGAAACCCGCCTTAAGGGACACCAAGCTCAATGGATCTGCGGTTGGATGGGGTTCCTTCTGGGGTTGAACCAGGCAGGGCCCCCTGCCCCCTATGTTAAGACGCACCCGACTAGCTTGGTTCGCGGCGGTCAGCCGCGGGTCCACAATCGGAGAAACTGCAGAATCTAGAGGAAACGAGCCAACGCAAACCCAACAACACAGTATGCAAATCAGGTCGCCACAACGGCTGAAAACGGAGACCCCAACAAAATGGCCCAAAACGAGGTCGCATAACTTGTCAACTCAACAAAATGGAATTGGAATAACTTCTGTAGATGTTCCTGTACACTAGCCGGCAAGATGTTGCTCTTAGGTCATCGGTTCCCATAGAGATCATTGGACATTGGATGAGAAACGGATGGGTTTCTGTGGTTGGAATGTGTGGGTGGGGTGTCAATGTAAAGGGGGAATAGCTACGAGAGCCCTGGCGCGCAATCGCATCGAACCGGCCTTTGCAAAAGTTGGTCTCGACATCGCACCGTTTTCCGGGATGCTTGCAAACCGAGCTGGCCTTTCCGAATATCAACTTTATCCCCCTCAAAGAAGACTCGCTTTTACTGGGCCAGAATGAGGCACATGCAAAAAGTAAGGCGTTTGGCTGGTTGAATAGAAAAATGAAGGCACCCCGAAAAGCAAAACATTAAAAAGGCAGGCTAAGTCTGGCAATGCCTTTGAACAAGGAGCTTTCCAAACGGTGTTGAACCAGTCCGAAATCCCCTTTCAAGCTTCCGGGGGACCCAGGCCCCTTGGAGCCTTTTTGAAGATAGACCCAAAGGCCAACTCGCTTGCAAAAGGGAAAACCAAAAAGCTCAAAGGTTCGGTTTTGAGTGTTGCAAGTAGGGAACAAGGAGGACCTTGGATTTACCCTGGCTTGGCTGGATCTGGTAAGTGCATTTGCCATATGTCGGAAGTCTAGCGTAACCAGTGAGGCAAGGAAAAAACCAACCCAGGTCAACAGAGTCCCAGTTGCACCCCTTTTTTTGGTTTGGTGGGACCGCGACATGTGAAAGATGAAAAATGGGTGTCAACTCATGGAGGGCTTTCAACTGGGCGTGGAATCCAACTGCTCAGACATAAGCAACCCAAGCGCTCATTGGGCACCCCAAATATGTATGTATACATAATATGAATATGATATAATATAATATATATGAAGTATAATACAATATCATAGACCAAAATTCCGTTTCATAACCCTTATTTTACATAGCCCTGGTTGACCAGTATGGCTCAGCAAATCCAACAAAATGTTGGAAATGCCCAGTTGCCAACGCTGTGCCCTATTGACAACGTGACACCATATACACCAAGGCATGTTTTGGTTCCTGAGAAATTGCCTCAAATTCTTTGAGGGAACCCAACAACATGGTCGGTGTCCCTTTAGTTGCCCATTAGAAAGATCAACCAACAGGGGGGAAGGTCCCCAAAAATGCAAAAACTGACACCCAAAACCCCAAACCTCCAGCACTCCACAGAAAAACGGTGAAGCAAACACCAGAAACACCTTGCAAAAAAAAGCTTCGTTGGTTTCCCGCTAGGCTTCCTTGTTGTTGTTTTAAGGCAGCGCCACACTGCAGCATCAATCGAAAAAGACCTGGGCTGCCGACTGCTCACGCAGAATGACATAGGTCAGGACAGCCAGCGTCATCATTCCCAGTGTGAGCCTTGCAGAGTCGTAGCTAACTTCTAATCAGCTTCCCCCTGATTGGTGGTTTGGATTGGTTTGGAAGTTAGGGTGTGGTTTCCCAGTTACCCTCTACAAGAACCAGACGCCCAAGTTTCCAAACCAAACCAACTAAGGGGTGCCTGATTCTAAATGCAACAACACATCCCCTCCAGGAAAAACACAGAGAAGGCTCCCTGCACCTCTGGAGACAATTTCCATTCCCCCAAACCGAGTCAAATCCTGGCCCAGCGGGGTGATATCCTGTGAAGCCAACCGTTAGGGGCCCCTCTGCAATGCTCAGTTCAACTACTGGAAAGCCTCTTGGGCTGTCAGGTTCTTTCGGAAGTGGGACCTGAACTCCCGGTTCAAGATGAATGACATAGCGTTCCCCTGAGGAACGTGCTTCGAATACATAACCTCACAAATCCCTCATAGACACCTTTTGCAGGTTGGCAGCCCTTTTGGGTAAATGGGCCGCGTCAGGCACATACTGGTTCCCTGCGAGGCGTGGAGTATGAATACCTGAACCGGCCTTCCGAGTGAAAGCGCACCACAGCACCGGCGACTGGTCTCCTTTCAGTGGCCCAAGCCATCTTTCGAAAAGAATCCCGCCCCCCTTGACCACATGATCGCACCACTTTTGGCCATGCTAAACCTCGCAATGGAAACAAAACGGCTTTCCAAAAAGCCCAAACGGCTCTTCCGATCAGACAAAAGAGCAACCCTTTCAAGGGCATGAGGTGGGCGCTCAAATCTCCCTTTGAGTCCTACCCCAAACAGCCCGATCAAAAATGCCCTTTCACAAAGCTTGGCGAACGTCAGGGAACGGTGCCCAATCACCTCTCTAAGCTCTCCGAAAAGGAACCGGGGCACGGGCCACTCTAGCTTCCCGTAGTTGCCTGAAGGTGTAAAACGGCCGGCTCACGTAGGCAGTGGGCAACTGGCAATCAATACTGACGAGTTCCCTTCAGAAAAGGAAGTGGACAAAGGGCCTTTTCAAGAGGATGGTAGTCTTCCGCTAGCTTCAGTTTGGGGGTGGTGTCCCATCGACCCTCTACAAGAGGAGGTCAAAATGCCCAATCCAATCACAACCAACTAAGGGCTACCTGATAGTACTGTGGACAAAATCCCCACGCCGATCGGTTGGTCAGTGGCTGCTCCCAGCATTCATAGGGTTTCATCCATCCCAACTTAGTGCAAAGCAGAGTTTGAACCAAAGCAATGCCAAACGCCGACAGCTTCCGGAAAATCGACTCTGCAAACTAAGCTGGAACTCAGATTGTAGAGGAAAATCCTGTAATTAGGGGAATGGCGCTCATTTGCTGTAGGGTGCTCGAGAGTTCCGGAGCAGTACCTTCCAGGTGGTACGCGTCAGAAAATGATGGTCTTTTGGAGGAATTCGTCTTACAGAAGCGCCAAATGGGTGTATACGCTACAAATGTAAGGGTGCGACCATACTACTATCCAAGGCTGAGTATATGAAGCCACAGAACTCAAGCCCTTGTTTTCTTAACTAGGGGGCCAAGCCATACCAAAATGATCCTCCCTGCAATATGTGAACGCCTAGTTCATGCATTGACAATTGCTTCGGCTTGACTGGCTTAGTTCAGGAGGGAAGCCGTTCTCCACCATTGGGGCAAATGGATTCACGCCCCTCCCCCGAGTCGACCTGTCGGCTACGCTGGGCTACGCTGGGCTACGCTGGGCTACGCTGGGCGACGCCTCTCCGTCCGAGTCCGCGGCGGGAGAAAACGTAGTAGCTCATGATCACAGAGAGCGGCAAATACAGGTATCCCACCTGGCAGGCGCGAGCAAGAAAAAATAAACAAAACGATCTCTCAAGCGGGAGTTCAAACGGGGGAGTTCCTCCCCAAAAACCCGTGGGGCTTTCTTCTCTGATGTGTTTCAAAAGGAGAAGGCCCACAGCTCTAATGTTGACACCATACTGTTAAACCCCAGTTTATTCATAGGGGAAGTGTTCCCCTCCAGAAGTGACGATTACCCAACAAAATCAGGGACACCCCCCCGATTATTAAACTGGGGTTGAAAAATATGGGCCAACCAACCCGCAACATCCGCGCGTCCCGGCCGTCACGATCTGCACGTTGGAAGTGCCCGCCCAGCGCGAGAGGGCGACCAGGGCACTGGCCTCGGGACCGAAACCCGGAGATGCAGAAGTCAGCCGATTCCACGAACAAAATTGTCTGCAGGTTCAACCAACATGCATGGGAAGTTGGGAGAGTCCCCTTGCAGTACAGGTAATGTTGCCCGACCCTCATGTGGAATTGGCCGCCAATGGCTCGGCTAACGGCGATATGAACCTTGTAAATAGATTTGGTTTACTGGGTGTATGACCTTTTCCTTTCGAAAACACAGATGGCCCAGTATATTCTTTGTTGTCATCCTGTTTGGTTGCAGGATTCATGTGTTGAATCCGGAGTCCCGCAAAATGTTGATCCATCTGCCAGTTCCCCATTTCAGCACCGGATTCCCCGTTTTAAGGGAATCGCCTGGGAATCGCGCCTGAACCAGCCCCCTACCCCGTTCGCCCGCTGAGAAGCAAACGGTGCGGTTCGCAAGTTAAAAACTTGCAGTGCGTGTCATAAACTCCTCGTCTGGAACCCGTTGGCTTGGAATTGGGCCCAAGTTCATGGAAAAGCCCCCTTTTCCCCCTTTTCCTTTTTGGGGTCATGGAAAAACGGCAACGACTAAAAGCAGGTCTGGGCAACGCTGGTTGCCGGTCTGGGTAACCCGGGCGCAGGTGAAGAGGAAGGACACCCCGGCGAATCTCCAGAGCGCTTTCCAGGAAAACACCTTGTCAAAGGCGTGGCAGCCTGGCTTCGACACGGAAACCGGAACTTCGGGCGGGGAGGCGGTCGGCAGATTTCCGGATTTCGAGCGGCTTGGGCAGCCGAAATGGACACAACGGGAGTTCAGATGCGGCGCCCGTGTTTATGGATTTGTGTGCCTCTGAGCCCGCGTCTTGAATGGATTGGCTTCAACAGCCACGTTTAGCTGTGAACCTCGGAACCAGATCTGGCATTCAACGGGACATTATGGTCTCCGGAAAATCCACAACGCAAACACTCGAGAATCAGCCGAAACCTCTCTCAACACACTCATTCAGGTTCGCCGGCCCTGGTTCCGTTTGATTGGGTTGTGTTGCCCCCTGAGTTGAGTTGCAACCATTTCTGTAAGACATCCCCACCTAAAATGCGCCCCTTTCACCCGACAAAAAGGGCGTCCCACCCACAAAAGGACCTGCTTTGGGGCCTTCGGCTTTCGAAGTAGGGTCTGTCGTTTTATGCGGAACCCTTGTTTTTGTGGTCTTTAGAGGGACACCAAAAGGAAAACCACCCGTTGTTGGGGTCCTCTATGAGACACCCCCATATGTCCACCTTTCCTGTTTCGGCTCATGGCAGCTCAAATGGGACGCATAGGCCCATGGCTTGGTTCTCTGGTCCCCTGAAAATTCTCATATTCGCATGGGGAAAAAATGCCGGCTATTTCAACGGGTGCTCCCCATGAATAGGGGTTTGTCTCAAATTGGGGGACACTCAAAAATATAGTGGTTTCCTGTAAGTGTTCCCTTAAAGCCAACCAAAGGGGGCCTCCCTAAAAAACGATACGCCCACACGGGTGCAGTTCCTTGCTGCCACACTCGCTCGGCGCTCCTTCAATGGTGAAGGACACGGTCAAGGAGGTCAGCAGCGACGCTGCGTTGCTAACTACGGAGTAGGAAAAGTAATTGATGCCTCGGCGATCCAGGATCTTTGACTATGTTTCCCCTTAAGGCAACTCAGTTTTTTGACCCAACAGACGGTGATATTTAAGACACGCAAAAGGGAAATATAGCGAACCCTGGGGTCGTTTCCCGACTAACGGGTGGAACATGTTCCGTGTAACTTTCTGCGTCACCCGTGAATTGTGTGCAGCCAAACAACTAGCTCCAGTGGAAAATAGCTTGCGACCTCAATGCCGCCATGAAATTGAGATTACAAGAACCTCCGTATTGCCGTGGGAACAGTGACTAGTGGTTGGAGGAGCAAGCCTCTCGTCAAAACTTCGCGCTGCCCGGCTCCATTCAGAGACCACAAAGTTGCTTGAGGCTGGCGTTTCAGGGCAAGAGGAAAGCCTAAGGCGTTGAAAGTGTAGCCAGATCACCATAAACCATGGGATCTCCCCCTTTGAGAAGCATCCGTGTTCAGATGAGTCCCCCAAGTCAAATGATCCAAAATCAGAAGCTCATACATGGCCATACCGGCCATACCAAAGCTTTTCATGGGTCGCGGTTCCCCCCGTTCGAGAGATGAGCACGCGGGTACTCCTCCAAGCAACACGGGGGGAAACACGGCTGTCATGGCGCATGGTTCTCGCACAAAAAGAAACAACCGTGTTTCTCCAACCTCTCCGGGCTGGACTTTTTCGGGTTTCTTGGCTTAAGGCCACCAAGGCGTCGGTCAAAACCCCGAATCTGCGTACGGTCCCCTTGGATTCCTTTCCCAGCCAAGTTCCCTGAGTTAAGGGTCCGGAACATGGCACCATATCTGAAGTGAGAGGGAAGAAAATGGCTGGATGTTGAATGGTTCAAAAGCATGATCACCCCTTGGAACTCGAGCGAATGGCGCGCCAAGCTTTTCACTGCCTATGCAAGCTGCCACTGAGAAGCTTGCCCCCAAATGCCAGATGACAACTCACCTACTATTGGTGGGCGGCCGGACGTTGATTTCCATGGCAAGTGAGATGTGGAGGGATGGTATTCAGATTACAACTTGGACATGGGGTTTACTCACCAGGAGACACAATGACATGGGGCAACTTTCTGTGATACGAGGAGGGCAACCGAATTGAGTAAGCCGCAAAATGGCCGGCTTCGCTTTGGTTTCTCTTGAACACCCCCGCGAAACGGCTCCTTCAAAAACCACCAAGACTTCTAAAACCTCGGGGACGCATTTTGATCAGTTTTCCGGGGACAGGGTTGTTGAAATGAGGGGGGTGCTTCCCACTTTTCGCGATAGGCATCCTCCTAGCGGCTAGTTCGTCGGGAAGGCTTGCAGTCACAAAAAGCGGTCGCAATCTGCGCACTTCGCAAGCATATGTGTTTCCATAGGAATTAGATGTCCAACTTTGGATTCCCATGCCCCTTTGCAAAGCATCGCACCGACCACGTGCGAAACATCACACAACTTGGCGTTCGCGCCGCTGACCAAACCATGTAAAATTGGTTGCGTAGATTCGTAGATCCTTCCTGGTAGAGTCGCTTTGCTTTTTGTTGTCTGAAATAAATTGGATGGTTGAATAGGAACGTCCATCGAGCACAAGATCGTTCAAACGGTGTGGCTCCGTGGGCATATACCCCATTTTGGGTGTCAAAGGCAAGGAAAAATATTTGGGAAAGCAAGCAGTTGGCTCACTTGACTCTAGTCTGGGGAATGGCCGATCTCGACTGCTCAAATGGGAACCCATGATTTATAACCCCACAAGGCGCCCACAAAAGTGATCTCCGGAATCCCTCCTGTTCAACCAAAGTCTCTGACTCATCCGGGGTTCATGGCGAATCGCAAAAACCCGGGCAGATTGACGGGAAGTCGCTGCGCCGATACCCCAACTCCGAGCGCCCGGCCCTCCACGTAGACGACCTCCCCCAGCACAAACTTGCCAGAGCCTGGGCCGAAGGAGACGTACGTGTCGTTTCCCAAGATGGTGGTTGCCGTGAGACACAAAAAAAGGGTATTCTCAAAGAAAGACTCACCGATTGAAGCAACCGCATCCAACCACCATGAAAGTAGTCCTCCCCAAAAGGGGCCTGCCATTGGTGGAAGGGTTACACCAGGGTGACTTGGAAGAAGTCGAAAACGAATCCAACTTGGCAGAAAGATGACGGGGATATATAGCGGGATAATTACACAACTGCGAGATCTACTGAAACATGTAATACGTGTCCCCTTGTTCCCCCCAATGGGCGGATACTGAAAAACAACTTTCCGGAAGTGATCGATTCCGCTTTCACCAACCGGGGAATTACAGCAAACTTCTGCGAGTGGAAGCTTCTGCAAGTTGGCATTGCCTCCGAGAAATCAGTTGCAACCAGTGTGGCTCAATGCTAAGAACCCAAAGGACCGCAGATTTCGGCGTTTGCGGGGCTTGGGGGTAGCCTAATTTGGTGAAAGTAGATCTCAGTAGAAACATGCCAAAAAAACAACTCGTTCTGTGATACCCCAATACAATAGCCCATCCCTACTTTCTCGCTCGGCTTTTTTTTCCGTGCTTTCCCCGCGAAAGTGGCAGCCTTCCCTTCCCAGGGTCCATTTGTTTTGTGCGAATTCCGCTTTGCAAGTTCGAAACCAGTCCAAAACTCACCTTGAGAGCTTCAACGACTCTATCCCGACCAAAAAGACACAAAGACAGAGCTACAGAGGCCGGAGGAAACCAAGCGGCTTTCTCCCCCCGGCAAATTGGGCCACTCAAACTTTTTCCCTTGGGGCCGCAGCAGCTCAGTACGAAGACAACCAGCAGAAAGACCTGGCAACTCTGGGGATCCCCGAATTGGACCTTCATCGTCGCACGAAATGAGACCCTGGGATTTGGGGTAATCAAATCAGAAACCAGGGTTTCTGAGCTGTGCAAAATGGATTTCGTCCACTGCAAGTGTTCAAGGCCTTCCAAAACGATGCCCGATTCCCCCAGCCCAGTGGCGATCCCCTTTTTCCCAAATCGAGATCTCGGGATGCTTCTTCCCCCGCCCGAATTGGTGGTTTCCCTGGCTGCGCCTGGTGCACCCTCCTCCCACTAACATGGCCCTTGTGAGACAGTACATGAACCGGAAAGGCGTCTTTTACGGAGGGCCCGACTTGCTGTGAGGGTCCATGTTGGGTGGAGGGAAGTTCCTAATTGTTGGAAAGAGGACTAACCTTGGCTCGACTTAGACGCCCTACACGGAAAATGGAGGAACACCAAAAGGTGTTCCTAAGTCTGGCAGTACAACAACCACAACGAGGACAGGAATATTTGACCTTGGCTCTAACGCAACAAGCTTCAAATGTTGAATGGACCACGGCCAGTGGGGGAGCTTGGCACACTTTCCAAGCTTCCAAAGCCGGCGAACCATCTATTGCTCAAAGGTGGTACCACCCGACGGGTTCTGTCTGGGACCCGGTCAGCGGGGGAAGTCTTCGAATTTCCAGTTCCGGTCGCCTGTGCCCTTTGAGGGGATGATGCTTCTTCGCCACAAAAAGCGGATCGGTCCCCGGTTCGGGGGTCCCGTCCCTAACCAAAAAGACCGGGGTTTGCAAGTTGGATGACCACAGCCTGTGTTGGGCTTTGCCGGACCAGTTCACCAGACACCCAGTTTTTTTTTCGAGCATCTCGGAGAAATTCAAGCACCATTTATCAGTGGCTGTGCGTAAGTGTTGTCCCCACATAATCCAAACATGTCAAGTATCAAAAGGGCTTCTTATCCGCACCTATTTCTGGCAAACCCGAAGTTGCCTGAATCCTCTGCTCCAAAGCTGCCGAGCGTAAATGCTGCTGCCTCTGAATAGGATAGCCTTGACTATAGCGTTCCTGGCGACCAAAGCAGGCCCAGAGCACGCTCTGTGAGACAGACCATCTGGAGCTGAGCCACTGGTCGAAGTATTGACCTCGACAAACCCGGAAACGATCGACTCGCGAGTGCGATGGCGCAAAGAACATGACTTGGGCGGTCCAAATGTGCGATTGCTTCCCGTAAAGGACATGTGACACTGGACATGCGAAGTCCCCCGCGCACAAAAAAAAACAAAAAGCGCGAGAAAGCAACGCCCGCACTCTTCAAGGGCTCCATCCGACCAAGCTGGATCGACCCGCGTGCCAAATTTGTGCCTCGTGCCTGCAATGTATGAGTCATGGTTGTCCCTCCTCCAGAACCAGTTGAATCATACACTCCTGAGCCCATACCTGAACATGCCCGAGACGAGTCAAACACTTTTTGGGCGCAAACATCTTCAACCCCCGTCTTCCAACCGACCGCCTCTTTGGCTGAAAGTTGCCCAGGCTCTGCTGATATGTGTCACTCTTCAATCAAAATCAAGGGCATGTTCAGGAATATGTTCAGGAATAGGTTCTGGAAGTATGGAGGTTATATATTACCATCTGGATCAGAAGGATTGTGTAAGGACTATATAATGGGTCATACCACTAGTCCGTGCAAGGATTATATATTATCATGGCTTGTACGAAAAATAAGGATCATGTAATCGGTTACACGCTGATACTGTTGGTTAAGCTTCTGTACCTCCCGAACCCACACCTGAAAAATACCCTGGGACCCTTGAAACAAAAACTGAATCTGACTCTTTGTTACACCCACTCCACGGCTCATTCCCACACACCCTTCGACTACTTTGAGACCCAAATCCTTTTATCACCTTCCATGTTTGACCGGAACCCAAGGCCAGCCTTGCCCTTGTGGCTTGAAGCCGAAGGGAAACGCTCTTCTTTGCGGCCTCCACTAAACAGGAACCTGCCCCCCCTCCCCCCTCAAAAAGAAACAGGCGAAAACGAACAAACAAACAAAGAAACAAAGAAACATACAAGCAAGCAAACAAACAAAAAAACAAACAAAGACAAATACAAACAACGAAACAAACAAACAAACAAACAAACAAACAAACAAACAAAACCGCTGGAGCATGCCAAAAGACCATGAAAGGCGCTGGCGCTTCTCCATCAAGCCCGAGACATGCTCATCAAGCGGCGCAGAAATCCGCGTTCCAAGGGAAAGCGGACCCATCATCAATTCCCATGTTCTACTCAATCTAGAAAGGGGCTGTCCTGCAACAAAGAAAAAGACCAAATGGACCCAATACTAAGATTCTACCCCCAACTTGGAGTGTGGTCCCTCTTGTGGCTCAAAAGCCCCGTGGCCATGGAAAACAAAGGCCACTTCGATCTTTTTTGGGGTGAACCCTTCCAAAAGAATGAGAAAATCGGAGCCGCTCGTCGCCGCTCGTCGCAACTGCTAACCTTCGAAACCCGCTCCGCCGGTCCGGAGGCCGAAGCTTCGCGCTTCGCGTGGCTTCAGGCCACGGCTCTTGTTGCGCAGCCCGGGGCAGCAGGTCCGCCTGCTGCAGTGTCTTTGACGAGCGCCGAGCGGGGAGGCGCGAAAGTTCCGTGAAAAAAGGAAGCGCTCTTTTCAGCCTCCCCCAATATGGTTTGGTTTGGTGGTCAAGCGGTGACTGCCCATGTGCCCTCTACAAAAGCCAGGTTTCAAATCCCCAAGCCACTATTCCAAACCACGATAATACAAAACTGGTGGTCAATAAAGGAAAGCAAAAAAACTGATAGTTTAACAGAAGTTGCTTAAGCATGTTCGCTCAGGTGGGAATCCAAAATGAGACGGTTGAAACATGTTTGAACACTAGTGGACGTACAGCAAGGAGGGGCAGTTCCAGAAAAACCTCGAGGCTGTCGCAATGCGGGCGAACGTGGGGTGCTACCGGAACATTTTTGAACAAGTGAATGGCCCCACACTGAATCATCCACTTCGCATCAATTCATAGGAAAAAAGTATCACAGCATTGGTTTGGGCTGGTTCAGGGTTGGTTTGGAGGTGGTTTTAGGGCTGGGGTGGGTTCCCCCCCTCCGCCCTGTCTTGTGGTTGAGCTGTTGGGTTGGACGGTTCCTTCTCAAGTTCGGATTGGTTGAAATTGCGTAGGCCGCGGGGTGGCCGGGGGGCCGGGGGCGCCCGGGGGCGCCGGGGGCGCCGGGCGCCGGGGGGCCCGGGGGCGCCGGGGGCGCCGGGGGCGCCGGGGGCGCCGGGAGGCGGGGCCGGGGCGGCGTCCCGGGAGGGGAACACACGACACCGTACAGATGTGGAGAGAATATAAATACATGGTGATTGCCTGGGAAGACCCTCTCACCACTCCAAAATGGGCAGAGAATGACGGAATCGGGCAAAGATAGGCTGATGCAGCGTGGGGAGGTGTGCTTCTGTTGAACCTCCAGTCTGCCCTGGAAGAACAAGGTCTCGCCCGAGAATTGGGTGAAACATCTAGGACCTAGGAGGGGCGGGCGCGTGTTTCCTAATTCCATTATTCTTGCAATCTCTGGGAAAAAATAGAATTAAAAAATGCAAAAGATTGGATCAAAAGGGAGATCTCCAATCACCCCCGCTCCAACATCACTAATTTAAGCGCAGAAAGAAGAAACCGTGAAGGGGATTGCCCGGTCACAGGCTTGGCCAATCTCCGTTTAAACACCCAGGCCCCCGTGGCATAGGGAAACCAAAAAAGGAGGTTGTTTCAACAAGGGGGTGCAACTGGCCCCATTGATTTACAACTATCCTAGTCACCCTCCCCCCCCAATCGAAGGTTGAAAGGTAACAGCCCCACTCTCTGATTTTGAGGGCCCCAAAACAGACAAAACAATAGCCCCAGTTTAAGACAAAGGTTGTTCAAAACAATGGCTTACCTCCGTGTTCAGTCCCCTGGAAAAAAAACAAGCATGTGTCCAATAGTGCTAGATTCCGTGTAAAACCACCAGGGAAAAACGAAACAGATATTCTTAAGCAAATGGAAGTATATGATTATGATATCCGCACCTCCCAAGCATTAAGGTATAAGCCCTCCCTGGTTTCAGCAAACCGCTTTCGGCACCCAAGCACCGCCTTCCGATTTTTCCAGGCGCGGGCGCTGAGCGTGGCGCCAATTTCTCGGGGCCCCCGCATTCTCGCGAGGGTGTCCGAGTGGGCAAGCGAAGGCCTGTCCTGACGCTGATGGGCTCGGAAAGACGGGTGGGTCTTGTTTTGTTTTTTTTCAGGGAGCCAAACACAAAAGTGGGGCAGGCCTTTTGTCGTTGCCCGGGGGGTTCCGCAAAAGCAAGGTATCCTCAAAAGCCAGCCCCCCGGATTGGTTTCCTTTTCCCCCTTTATCTTGAGTAACAATCAGCAAGCATACGCAACGAATGGGCACAGTTAGCACACGGTTGGGTATGGGGGCACCACTATGGCAACTTTGAGGAAAATTTTCTAGGTGTCACAGAAAGAGGCAATATAGCCCAAAACCCTGGTTGGCTAGACCCCGTTAACGCCACCCTGAGCAAGGGTGAAGCAGCAATTGGTTGTGCTTGAAGGGACCACGGGCAACACTGGCTCCTTCGCAGGAATCCTTTTGTGTGTGCGCCACCCCTATCCTGTGGCACTTTGCACCGGCAATGACAAGCAGGAATGCAGCCGCTAACCGCTTGCCAGGTTGCTCGGTGTGTGACAGGCACTAAGTAGACATTTTCTGAGCAGCTTGGTCAAGCTCGCTTCAGAGCAGACATCCTTTACACCGACCGATGTCACTTTCCAGCCAAGGATTGCATCAGCTGATACAGCCCCATGTTCCACATCAGCAGATTCCACTATGGCCGCAAAACGTTGGAACGATGATAAACCAAAGATTAGGCTAAACGTCTAAGGGTACAGTGGATGCCAATGGGGTGTTAAAAATTGAACAAAAATGTGATGTTTGAACACCAAAGTAAGTCACGACCACCGGAGAGTCATGATACAAATAATTGAAACAAACCAAATCATGACCCCAGAACCAATGTCAACGGTCAGCTGTGGATGGGCAAATTAAAGCCATTCATCAACCTGAATGCAGGAAGCAAAGAGGATGATCAAACCTAAATGGGAGCGGGTGTGCCATTTACAATTTGCGGTTTTGGGCGAACACGAAGTAGCCCAGGGAAGCAAATGAGCACAAGGTAGATCACAAAGTGCCCACAGCACCCGGAAACACAACTCGGGTGAAGCTGTGGATGATGACCGGGTTGAGGATGTGACGGTAGAAGAGGAAAATGTTTGGGGAGGTTTGGAAACACGTTGCAATAGTAAATCGGGAAGTATGCCACCAAGCCCAGGGCGCCCGCGCCGTAAAACCAGGTACCTCCTAGTGCCAGCCCTATCCCGCACCAAGCAGCAAACTACTTAATGAGGGGGAAGACCGCCGCACTATGGCGCCTGACGTTTTACCGCAGAAGACCTGTCGGGAGGTGGAAAACTTGAGCCAAACGGCCATTCGGCCGTTTTGCCACATGATGAAACAACACGTGAACAAAACACACCCCCCTCATCCGATATCTGGACGAGAGAAAGGATGCGAGACAGTTGAGTTCACGACGAAAGGGACCAACCAAAAATGCCGGTGTCAACTCAGAGGTGAGCCAAACGGCATCACCTGGGCCCCAGTTAAAATCCCGCCACCACCCCGAATTATCGGGGCGACAGGATTATTTGACGAGTGGACCACATGAGTGAACAAAGACATATTGGAGGAACCAGACGAAGATTCCTCTCGTGCCGTTCATGAGTTGTCATGGGACGATGCCATGCGGAGGGGGATCCTATCTGGATCACCGCGCCTCACTGCACGCCGTGGAGCGGTTGGAAGAGTAGTCGAGTTGGGAGGAAATTAGAAACGGAAGTTCCGAAATTGGTGTGAAAATATCCGGCTATGGCCGGCCCGGCACTTCTAGTGCGGTCACAGCCTCACACAGGATCGCCAGGGGAACCGTCTCCGGCGCGCACGGCAGCGGTGCGGGAGGGACACGATCAACGCCGGATCAGCGGTACAGGGCAATGGAGACCATCACCCCCAGCAGCGCCGCACGGGCGAGAGGAGGACCGGCGCGGTCGCGTTTGTCGGCGACACACGTACTATCCTCGCCCTTCTAAGGCGGATACTGATTGCGGTGCCCGTCTACCACCCTGAACCAGGCTCTTCCCGGTCCCTGGGCGCGTCGTCTCTTCGGCGTCCACCACGGTCACCTCGATCACCTCCTCCATCCCGACGGCGATCCTCACCACCACCCCTATTGTGGTCGCCAGCCGGAGGTCGGCGAGGCGGAGGGGGATCTGATTGGTGACGTCGGTCATCCCTGCGCCGGTCCCGGTGGCGATCGCGACGGTCATCGCCCGGGTCATCACGTCCGCGGCGCTCATCTCGCCCCGGGCCGCGCCTCTCGGAGGTCTCCTCATGACGTGGAGGAGGTCGGCGATCATCGCGTCGGCCTCCGCGGGTGTCCCTGCCACGATCATCCCTTTGTCGGGGCGGGCCGGGATCCTCGCGTGCACCTTTGCCAGGTCGATGTTTTCCTCGACCCTTCCCCTCACCCTTAGGACCGCGACGATCCTCGCGGGCCCCAAGCGCGGTCCTCGACCGATCGTCATCTCGGCGGGGCCGCGACTCATTTTCCGCACGAGTGGTCCGCGGCACACCCGGGGGAAGCTCCCACTCGTCGTTGTCGTCATCACGCGGGTCGTGGCCGCGATGGCCGCCCAAGGAACCGGTGGCATCCCGTGGTGGGGACGCAGGAGTTCCGGGACCGCCCGATCGAAGACGAACTCGGGGAGTCGCGTCCTCGCCGGTAAAAGGATCCTTCTGGGTGTAGAAACCCTTAGTCCTGCCCCTTCTCTCCCCACCTTCCACACCGCTTCTCGCGGGGACCGGGGATGGGCGGGCAGGCTGGGCCATGCTCTTAGAGCTGGGTTGCCCGCTAGGCGGGACCTGAACGCCCCCCTGCCCTTTTTCGGGCGCGGGGACCCGACCACGAGATGTCCTTCTGGCCTTGGGTTGGTCGGACTCACCCTCCAGCTCGGACTCGGTGTCAGGGACACGAGTATTGATGGCCATGTCCTCTTCCTCAAACGGATCCCCAGTCGTAGTAACGCCTGCCGCAATGGGAGCGGGAGGAGGAGGAGGAGGAGTTGGCACAGCATCGCCAGAACTGACGCCTGCATGCGGCACCACGGGAGTCTCCGGTTCTACCGGGACAGGCGGCGCAGGAGGAGCCGGGGGCGGTGGCGGAGGGGGAGGGATCTCCTCCTCGTCGTCGCCCATGGGCTCGTCAAGGTCGTCAGGCTTCTCGTCATCTTCGTGCGAAGAACCATCCGATCCCAGCTCATCCTCCGCTGATCCAGCAAAGTCGGGCTCGTCTTCGTCCTTCACGCCGGGGCCTGGTGTAAGGCGAATTCCGGGTCGATGGCGATCGCGGGGTCGGAAGCGGTACTTCCTTGGTACAGGGTCGGACAGCTCCTGTTTGATGTCATCCTGGGTTTGAGGACGGTCGGCCAAGCATGTGTCGTAGGCAACGGTGGACGTCCGGTAGATCAGATCGTCCATACTGCTGAGGTCGTTGAGGGTGTAGACATACCCCTTCTTAATGCCTTCCCGTATCGTGTCCATAGCCCGTTTGAGGCGCGCGGCAGGATCGAATCCGGCCTTTCTCCGCATGGCCTGCAATAGCAGTGCTGTGCGAGCAGCCCCACCTGGAACTTGAATCCCTCCCCGGACACATCGTTGGGGAGTACCGGAGAAAGGTGTCCTGTTCTCAGCCCAATGATATGGGCCTCAAGAATGTAGTAGGACGTGTAAAAACCGCATCGGTTGGCGTTGAAGTTTGCGGTGGTTAGGCGTCTGCCCCACTCAGCCGCATATCCCTCATATTCTTCGAAGAATTCGGGGACGGAGCTCCCGTTGAAGGCCAGACCCCTTACCAAGATCGCCTTTGCTACCCACTCTTCCACGTTGTTGTCGACCGTGTCACGGTATTTGCCGTCAAGGACTTCGTCTCGGAGCGAGTCGTGAAGTTTTCGGAAAATGCCATCCACGTCCTCTTTGTCAAGGTACTTAGGAGGCCGCATCCCAGACATCAACAAGGACCGGGCATCGACGGCGGGACTCTGCGAGTAGAGGGCCATTCCGATGGCGTTGGCGTCTGAGTTGTTCCACAGAGCGGGGACGAAGCCCTCGTATTTTGCCAGCCAGGGAGGAATCACCCCGTCAGTGCTCGCTATCGTGCGAGGGCCGCCGTTCGTGTCTCCGGTGGGCAGGACGCCATCGTAGAAGATGGGAAGGTAGCAGGCGGTGCACAGGTGAGCGCCGACCGGATGGGCCGTCATGCACCTATGGCATGGAACGGACACCACCTCGCGGGCATGTTCCGTCTTGGTGATCTGATGGTACTTCTCCATCTCGTCCCGACACTTCCTCGGGTTATCACTCATGGAGTTGAGGAAGTTGGGCGGATAGCACCAAGGCCTCAGGTAAATGATGGAGCAGTCCTCCTTGAAGTAGACGCATCTCCAGTACCCGATCGCGATGTTCTCGCGCGATGCAAAGGTACCCTGACGAGTAATATGCATGCCCCCATTTTCCATGGAGAAGAAACGTGCATCGACAGCCATGACCACATATCGGGGATCGCTCCTTTGGCGTCGACCCGAGGTGTGCAGCTCCGTCACGTTGCTGTCGGTGATGCGGTCGACAGTGTCGTTGGGGCACTCTCCGTGATCGCGGAGGGATTGATACTCATCCGGCCGAGAGGGAAGGAGCTCGATCAGAGCTCGCCCACCCCGAATGATCGCCCCACGTTCTACGTAGAGCCGATACATTCGGAGAGGCACCACCTTGTAGAGCGTCTTGGGAACCACTTTGGAGGTGATAGGAAGACAAACAGGGCTCTCGTAGAGCATGTATTGGTATCGTTCACGAAATGCCCGGTAATCAGTGTCGGATCCGATCTCAAGCGACCTTACCGCCGCTATGCGGGCGGAACCAGGCAGCAACCGACGCTCCTTGTCACGAATGACGGTGATGATGATCTCGAACATTCCCACCCCATCCTCGAGAAAGGAAGACAGGAGGTATGAAGAAAAGGCATCCTCGGACTCGACGCTGGTCCCGAAGTAGTGGCTCAGGAACTTCTTCAGTTGTATCA